TGATGATGGAAACAGTTGGACTTGCGTAAATGGGGTGCCCGGGCTTGTTTTTGCAGGTCGCGCTTTGCGCCAAGAAGACAGTTTTTTGGGGGGGGGTTGTTTTTAGCAACGTGTTGCTACGATCCACCCGCGATCGTCAGAATGAGGGCTCGCCTGTTCACTCCCCCCCTCCTCCCAATCATCACACGTACCGCCGGGGGTTGCTGGTGGGATTCCTTTAAGGCGGGCGGGGGGATTTTCCAGGCACCCCCCCTTCCTCTTCCCTCTCTTGCATGAGCTGAATTTCTGCCCGCCTGGCCTTTTAGAAACACGTGCACGGTGAAGGAAAACCCCCTTGGAGAGGCAGGGGTTTTTTTCCCTCCCTCGCGAGATAGCTGGGGGTGGGTTGGATCATGAGGATGATGATGATGATCTGGGAGCCGGACTCCCTATCGCATGAAGGTGTTAGATCCAGATGGTACAGGGGGTGGGTAGGAATAAGCTGGGTTCGCACAACTCCATGATCCGTGTTCTGTTGGTGGGGTTGCACAACAGAGGGTTTGGGAACTGAAAAGGCCATAGTTTAAAAAAAAATCCAAAATAATAAGTATTTTGTTTGCATTCCAAAAGCTGGCTCTTCCCTGCAAACACCCCCCCCCCGCCCTCCAGTTGTCCAGGGCCAGGCTTGGGAATTTTTTATTTTGAGGGCAAGAAAATGGATTGCAATTTTAAAAGACACACACACACACCTTCCCCGTTTCCCACCTGGAGTCTGGACAGAAGTCACCATCAAATCTTTTTTTGCATTTTGCAAAAAAAAAAAGCCAAATCAAGCCCTCATCGAACACGCTTGGGGGCCCCTTTTTGGCCCATGATGGCTGTTCCCTTGGACGACCAAGGTGTTTGTTTATATCCTTTAAGCGGCATCCTTTAAAAAAAAAAAGGGAAAGTAGCCAGCATATCCCCCACCGACCTGGTGTCTTCTTGTTGTGTGTCTGTTGTTTGGGTGGCCCCAGCGATCCATCGGCCGAAGGCTTTACGACGAAAACGAGGACCTTTCGGACGTGGAGGAGATTGTCAGCGTGCGGGGCTTCAGCTTGGAAGAGAAATTAAAAAGCCCGGCCTTCGGCGCGGATTTCGTGCGACCCATGGAGGGGAAAGGTAACCTGGGGACACATGTTTTTATTTTATTTTAAGAGCATCTTCACGAAAAGGAGATCGGGGCCTGATGTAGACCTGTCTAGTGGGTGGGATGGGGTGATGATGATTTTTATCCTTGTGTGTGTGTGCGTGCGTGCAAATAAATTCCTTTCCTTCCCACCCCATGTGCAAATTAGTGAATGGACTTCGTATCTCCCGCCAGGCGCCCTGTTGTTGTTTTCCAGGGGATCCGATGACGGCAGGGAGGGAGGGGGGCGGGCTGGAAAGCAGGCATTGTGAATGGGTGATTCACACAAACACACACACACACCCTGACGGAAACTTCTCTTTTCTTTCTGGCTTGCCCACGTCTTTGGCACACCCGATGCCTTAACCCACAACAGATGCCAGAGCAAAACCCAGCCTTTAGATCCTCCAAATTTCCTTCTTTATTCGGTTTGCTAAGGAGCAGGAAGGCTAAGCTCCCTATTCCTGCCCCCAGCCTTCAGATCCTCCAAATTTCCTTCTTTATTCAGTTTGCTAAGGAGCCGGAAGGCTAAGCTCCCTATTCCTGCCCCCTTCGGGCTGATGACGGGGGGGGGGCTTCCTCTTTCCTTTCCCCTTTTAATCCGGGGAAATGCTTGTGGGAGGTGTTCCGGTTACATAGCTGAATGCCTTCCTTTTATCTCCCATGCTCCTAGTCCCTCAGATCCTCCAAATTTCCTTCTTTATTCAGTTTGCTAAGGAGCCGGAAGGCTAAGCTCCCTATTCCTGCCCCCTTCGGGCTGATGACGGGGGGGGGGCTTCCTCTTTCCTTTCCCCTTTTAATCCGGGGAAATGCTTGTGGGAGGTGTTCCGGTTACATAGCTGAATGCCTTCCTTTTATCTCCCATGCTCCTAGTCCCTATTGTTTTTATTTGCAAAAGGCGTTTTTGTGGATCAGAGGGAAGTACTCTGCCTTGAGCTGATTGAAGGAAAAGCAGAATCGAAATATAATTAATATATTTTAAAAAAAATCAATAACCTCACCCCCTTAAGCAAAAGAAGATGCTCCCGTCGTTACGTTTTCTTGAACTTTCACGAACTTTCTTGAACAGCTGTCACAGCATTGTTTACATGGGCATACATTTAATGAGGCTTACCTCTTGCTAAGATTGTAAGAAATTCTAGCCCTCCTGTGTGTTTTTACTCAGAAACCCATTGGGTTTAGTGGGGTTAACAGGGTTTAGGGTTTAACTTGGATTGGCAGTTGTCTATAAAGACACGTTGATTGATTTTCTGCCTTCCAGTCCATTAGTTAATTAAATTTAAATCCACTTATGTATTAGGAAGACTTCCATAAAGAATCTGAGTCACAGTTTTCGAAGTCATAGCTGTCGATGCTCTCTTGGTATCTGGGGTTCAGATTTCTCCGCTATCCTTTAGAAGAGCATGCGAGAGCTGCTTGTGCAGAAAATTTAAAGTCCCTCGCCAGATTATGAGGGAGCCACAGCAGTTAAAGTGCTATCCGATCGATACAGCTGTATAGTGCAGATGCACTATATGGAGAAATCTGAACTCAGAGCTTTGCTGTTCCATGAAGCTTATACAGCCCTCGAGTCGCTTTCATAGCCGGGTCTACCCCACAGGGCTGCTGTGATGATACAATGAGACCAGGGAAGTATCAGAAGTAAGGCATCTTTTTAAAAAGACACTCCGTCGTCTCCTGAATTCAGAATTCCACTAATGAAAATTCGCTGCCACTTAGGCTAATATTGTTTAGAAATTCAGTAACTATTCAATGAAAAGGAGGAAGAAAGATCAGCAGTATAATTCTGTACCTGTCTGCCAAATTTTAAGCCCAGTTACAACATACAACTTAACAAATACGTTGCTGGAGCCCATGTTGGCCCTCCATTCTTACCTCTTTTCTCCCTGTTTTTCCTCCTTCCACATCTAGATTTCACTTTTGAGTATGTGCAGCGTGAAGCGCTCAGAGTCCCCCTCGTCTTCAGAAGTAAGGATGGACTGGGAATTAAGTAAGACAGTTCTCTTAATGTCTAATTATATACACATATACTGTATCTATATAATCTGTTTTTTGAAGAATGTATAGTCCTATCGCAAGAGCTTAGGGTGGGTCGTCATGCTTTTAATCCTTCTCTGTTTGCCAAGCCCTGTTCACTAGTTTACATTAAATATATGGAAATACGTACAAATCTTGTATTGTTTCTGCTAAATATATATACATGTTTTGGGTTTGGGGAGGATCCCAAAGGTAGAAAATTCAGTGGCAGGCAGAGAGAATAGTCTCTGCTTAATTCAGAGATGGGGAACTCCAAGCTACAGTAGAGAAGACGGGGTGAGCTAGTTTTTAAACTCTGTGGGGTTTCTGAGAGCAGTCCGTTTCGTTGCGATACATTTTTGGCTGGTGTCCTTCTCTCGAGTTGGTGATGGTCAAAGGGAAAAGTTGTACACAGAGTAAAAGGCTCTGGATTCTGGATCGGACAACTTCACTAGGCCTAGCTTGATTCTAGAAACTTCAAAATGGGCAGAAAGAACTAGTCCTGTGTACTGGTTAAAGGTCTGAAATTCTGTAGTCGCATCTCAACTTTGTAATTATTAAACTGTTGCGTGAAGGCTCAGCTCTTCCCTCGTTTGTCTCCCTGGCTCAGGGAGGTCATATAATATGTAGGTCATATAATATGTATATCACTTATACCTGGATATGAAAACTAAATTGGTTTGATGTGACCCTAGATAGCAGGGTAAATTGCTTCTGTGCTCAGTTCTCTTAATCCTGCTTCTCCTTTGTTAATTTCAGGATGCCAGACCCGGATTTCACCGTACGAGATGTCAAGTTGCTTGTGGGTGAGTTAGTTTAGAATTATTGTTGTTGCTATTATTATTATTATTTCTGGAGCATGCAGAAGCTGCTGGTGGTGTTTCTGGAGGGTTTGGAATTAATGTTGTTGTTATTATTATTATTATTATTATTTCTGGAGCATGCAGAAGCCGCTGGTGGTGTTTCTGGAGGGATGGGAGATCACAACTCTTGGAATAAACGCCCAAAGTGGCAAGAAGAAACGGGTACCCGGTTCACCTTTTAAAACTTGTGTGCCTGCAAATAACCTGCCTTCTATGAAGCATCAAGTCTGGTGGCGCCGTATGAATTTTTCACATTTTATTTGGTGTGAGCTTTTGTGGGCTGAAGCCTTTTTCATTGGGTGAATGGGGTGTAGCTTCTGCTGGATGATCCAGTGCATAGGGGGTGGGATGTGTGGGAATGAAAAGACAAGAAGTATCACCAAGTGACACTTCGCAGTGGGGGGGGCGTGAAGGGATGGGGACATCCTGGCGTAAATAAACATAAACATAGGAACGGTGTCAAAAATATTTGTCTGATCCCAAGGAGAATTTGATCTCTTGGTGGACTCAATGGCAGAAATAAGAGCAGCACGCTTACAGGACCTAATAAAGTCAACTTGGCCTCTAAGAGTCGGTTTTGCCATGTTTTGGGGGCCTCCTCCACAATCCTGGGCCCATTCAGACCCACCTTTTAAAAATTAAAAATAATGTCCACTAGGGGGCATGAGGGAGTTCTTTCAGTGTAAAAAAAATTTTTTTTAAGAGGAAAATTATTTTGGGAATGTAGAGGATGGGGAAATGTAGCTCACCTGAAGTACAGCCCTCAGACCTTTGGCGTTTGCTCGTCCCGCTTCTAGAGTTTACAGATGAGATATCCAGGAGGATTTTGACCTTTGCAGCTCCTGTCTTAACGAAACTTGCTAGGCTGTCGGAAGCTGCCATTTGGCCTGATTTTCATTGATTTGTGGCATTGCCTCCACAGGGAAATACGGGCTTGGGTACATTGACGTAATATATGTTTTTCTCTCCACTATTCCATTCTAGCCGTAGCTGAGAAAAGTTTTGTGTTTTTTTTATTTTTCGAATTTCCGAGTTCCAAGAATCTCCGGCCGGCAGGACCTCTTGCGATGGTGGCTGGGGAATTCTGGCCCTCGTAGTCCAAGAAATAAGTTCATCTGGGCTCTGACTCTAGCGGGCCAAATGGCTAGGAATGAGCATCAGTTCTTCTGGAAGAAAGCTAACGTGCTGTGAGGTCTCCCTTTCTAACTTTTAGGATCTGGTTTATCAGCCAGAAGCCTTTTCCTTTTCCAGACCGTGACTAAGAGCTAATGGTGCTGCTCGCATTAACGATCCCCGGGTAATGATCTCTTTCCTCTTAAAAGGGGGGGAGACTTTATGGTTTTTCTCACTTGCTCTTGATGCCAGACCAGGTCTCCGGGAAGACATCGCTTGCAATGGTGGGCTTGATCCTTGCCTTGGCATCCCGCAGGGGACCGCGCCACCCAAGGGTCTGGCTGGCAAACTGGTTTTCTAAACTTAGTAACCGAGATACTAGGATTGCATTTTTGGTCTGGACCATTTTTTCTCCTGTTTGCACAGGTTTTTTGAGTGCCGATCCTGTGCCTTTACTTTCCTTGGGATTTGCGTCAATGAAGGAATTGCTTGATTGCTTGCTGCTTTTATTACTCTCCTTCTGGTTTTCTGACTTTATCCCAAACGCTTCCTTTCTGCTGTGAAACCGATGAGCGAGTGGTTTTGTGGGCCATGGATTCTGGAGGAGAGGCAACTTTTGAGGTTCTCCGCTTTGAGCCCTCCGGATTTTTTCAGCCGTTCCCAGAACCCCTTGATCTTGGTGATGCATCTGCTTTTCGTTGCAAGCGTCCTCCATCTTTTCATTCACCGCAGTGCTGAATATGGGTCAAGAGGGGGCCACTATGACCCAAAGCTATCCCTCGGGTCCCAAAGGCAAACAGGGATCTCGCTGTATTGGAAGATGGGAAAGACCCAATAATTTATATAGTCGAGCTGCGAGTGATGAATCATCTCTGCCGGTCTTCCTTGGAATGGACAACTAAGACAGGCGCCACAAATTAGAATCAGAGAAACACCAGAAGTTTATTTTTGGCATTCGTAGAGATGAAAGGGATGTGGTGGTATTGTGGGTTAAACCGCTGAAGCCTTTGTGTGCTGCCGGGTCAGAAGACCAGCCGTCGTAAGATCGAATCCACGCGACGGAGTGAGCTCCCATTGCTTCTCCCAGCTCCTGCCAACCTAGCAGTTCAAAAGCATGCAAATGCGAGTAGATAAATAGGTACCACCTCAGTGGGAAGGTCAAGGCGTTCCGTGTCTAGTCGCACTGGCCATGTAAAAATGGGTTTCAAATCGAATCAATGCTAGAAAAACCCGTTAAGCCCCATGGGGTCCCTCCAGTTTTTAGGAGGTCCGCAAAAGTTTGTAAAACAGGAAGGTCTCTCACTTGATGAGAAGCTTGAAGTTTCCTCGATTTTTATTTTAAGTGCTTCGCTGGCTGGAATTACTCCCTTGTTCTCTTCCAGGGAGCCGTCGGATCGTGGACGTTATGGATGTGAACACTCAAAAAGGCACCGAAATGAGCATGTCTCAGTTTGTGCGATATTACGAAACCCAGGAGGCCGAACGGAAAAAACTCTACAACGTGATCAGCCTGGAGTTCAGCCACACGAAGCTTGCAAACATCGTCAAGCGCCCTAACGTCGTAAGTCAAGACTTTCAATTGTGTGATTTTTGTATTTGCAGTGTTTGGCCTGAATTGTATTTTTTAAAAATTGTGTGTATTGAATCGCTGAAGTGTCCTTTCTGTGTTGGATAGTCAGTTAAAGTTATTCCTAATTGACTGAAAGGGAATCCTCTGTTAATTGGGCAAATTTGTTTTAAAAAAATCAGTTGTTTCTCACAGAAGATCTGTAGACATTTATGTTCATCCATGCCAAAAAGGGATTATATGAGGAGAAAGTACAATTAATGTACCATATAAAATCAAGAAAATGTATTGTGCCCTCCCCTCTTCTCCACCGAAATACTTCTGTAGTGATGTGCAGATTAAACATATTTAAATATACAGATTTAAAAGATTTATTGGCACTAAATCAGTAGATTTACTTATAAGCCCACACTCAATTCTTACTTGAATAGATGCCTTGTTCTTTATTTTTAAAACCAGTCTTGAGTGGAATAGTCTTTTCAATAGTGAATGCCTTTTAAAAAAAAAGAGGACTGTACTCTATAAAGTAGAACCTAAAGTCACCCTACAATTTCCCTTTCAAATGCTACGAGAATGTATCTTTCTTCAGCTTTTCTTTAACTTTGAATCATCTTTTAGGTAGACTTAGTGGACTGGGTGGACAACATGTGGCCTCGTCATCTGAAGGAGAGACAGACGGATGCCACCAATGCTATTTCGGAGATGAAGTATCCGAAAGTGAAAAAGTAAGTTGAGTTTTCTTCTTTTAAGGTCCGTGATTGCAACCCTCCGTCTTGATTTCCTGCTGGTATTGAGATCTGGCTACGGGGTTAACCTAGATTAGCAGATCACAGAACGAAGATTGAACTGCTTTGCCCTGCAGGTTTGGGAATTATAGATGGAAACCTGGTTCTTCCGACGGGGTGAACCTAGATTAGCAGGTCACAGAACGTGGTTTGTGTTAGACTGAACTGCTTCGCCCTGCAGGTTCGGGAATTATAGATGGAAACCTGGTTCTTCCTGTAGGTTTCGGAATGTAAGCAGCCCGAATGATAACACTCTGCCTGTAGAAAGCTAAACCATCAAGAAGAGGGCCTCTAGTCTAGATCGCACCCCAGTGTGCTAGTTTTCTACAAGCAAGGATTTTTGGTTTTTTCCGTCTTCTGTTTCCAGCATAATGAACGAACGACTCCCCAGCTGTATTTTGAAATGTTAGACACCACGATGATTGTGGTGGTTTTTCTTGAATTTGTAACAATCGCTTACCGGGTTGTCGTTTTCAACTCGTGCTTCGCCTTAACGCATGCAGTCAGACTAGGTAACAGTACGGCAGCAGAATTCTGAATTGGTAGAATGGTTTGTTATCCTTCTAGCCACGGCAATGTGGAGTTACATTTTTTTAAAAATTCAGCAGTAGGAATAGATTTTCTGCAGATGGGTATGCAGATGAGCAGGGAGTAAATGAAGATACAGTTTTTTCCCCCGTCACATTAAGGGGGTGCTGCTGCGGTTGTTGTTCACAGAAGCTTTTATGTGAGAGATAATTTTTTTTTTAAGTATTTTCCATCTGCAATCTGACGTTTATAATCCACTTTGCCACTGTTTTGGATCCTACTATTTCCATTTGTTTTATATCTGGGCCAAGTTTCATTTTGTTTCTTCGGAGTTGCAAATATTCTGTTTCTGGAGGTTTCTTGGCATCTTGATTTGTGTTTTGTCTGCTTCTTGCTTGGCGGAATTGTTTTTGTGGAAGCTACCATGGCCGTCTTCGGACATCACAGGTCCTGGCTTTATAAACCCTAATACAGACAACGTACTCCATTACTTCCTCTGCCAAGATGGGTAAACAAAGAAGGAATAGCTTTCTATTATATTCATATCTGGGATTGTGGTTAAGAGTGTCTAAAAAAAAAGAAAGACTTAGGGTGGTTTTCATTCCAGGTTTGTTTGTTCACACCCAATTATAATTGTAAATTCAGACATTACATGGAATTTTCCCGGTTTCTTTACTGGCTTGTACAAATGGAAAAACGGAATGTGCTGCAGATTCTGTGTTCGTATTATGATGTATACGACAGCAGTCGCCCGTATGTCCCTCGTTGGTGTTGTGATTTTTAAAGTTCAGATTTTTTTGGTTTTACACATCATGGGAAATTCTGTGTCTTTCTTAAAATCCTTTCTCCGTTTCCTTGTGCCCTTAAAAGCAGAATACTTTTGACTTGTGCATCTGGAATTGTCTTGATTGATTTCTAAAAGATTTGCAAAAAAAAAGTAAAAGGAATGAACTGTTGTTGCTTTTCTAGAAATTGCTGTTTACTGTTTTACAATGCCCCCTGAGAGGTTGCAGTAATAAAAACTTCTGGTACTAGCAAGCTTGCTTGCCTACATGTCTCGGAGACACTGGCGAATCGGAATGGCCTCAGCCTGTGATTGGTTGCTGTGCTGTGATGTCAGATGAAGGCGGTGCAGACAGAAGGTGCTAGAGCAGTGGTTCCCAAACGTGGGTCCCCAGAGGTTCGTGGACTGCAACTCCCAGATATCCTGGCCATCACAGCAAGTGGGGAAGGCATCTGGGAATTGCAGTCCGGGAACATCTGGGGAATCCCAGTTTGAGAGCCACTGTTCTAGAGATCTCCTAGATCCGCCTGGGATTTGTTAAATTTGTCCCAGCTGTCCCACTGTTCTAGAGATCTCCTAGATCTAATGGACAAGAGCCGTTGACATGCCTGGGATTTGTTAAATTTGTCCCAGCTGACTTTGACACCTATAGTTTCGTTAGGGCTAAAACTTTTTTCTTCTTCAAAAAATAAAATGTCCCTGTGTGCGCGTACCCAGACACAGACACACACAGACAGAGAGTACTCCTGGTTATATGCTTTCCATTTTGGCAGAATGGATCAGACAGAGAGTACTGTAGTCCTGCTTATATGCTTTCCATTTTGGCAGAATGGATGAAAAGTCAATTCTTAAAATCCGTTTAAATCAAGGTGCCTTCAAGCGATCCATTTTTAGGTGTTGCAAAACGTTCGCGAAGGATGAGTTGTTAATTTTGTTCATTGTTGCATTTCGTAAAGCCAAGAGAGAGGCTCATAAAAGTTTTCTTTCTCTTGTATTTATGTGGCAAGAGCTTTGATTGATGTAGCTTGCATCATGATGATGATGATGATTGCTACTGCCATTGCTACTGTTACGGTGACAATAATTGGTTTTACTTAGAGACCATCTTTCTCCCACCAAAGGGACTTAGCTCCTTCTTGAATGTTCCTTCTTGAATGGGGATTTGAGATAGGGATTAGATCTCCCTTGCACAACATCATCATTAGCATCCTCCTCATTTTCTTATTCCAGCACTGTAACCAGTGGTCTGCATTTGTTCATTCTATGGACTGAAAAAAAATCCCCTTTTTCTAGAGGATGGGTCACCAGATCCAGTGTGATACAGTGGTTACAGCTCTGGGCTGAGATTTTGGAGAGCCAGGTTCGAGTTCTGGCCCTTTAACCCTGGACCACTCATTCTTGCTCTCGAGCTGGCCTGCCCTGCAGAGTTGTTGTGAGTATAAAGTAGGAAGCAGGAAAATCACATGTGCTGCCTTGAGGTTTCTGCAGGGAAGGTGAGAATAAAGCTTTGAAGCACTGTAGAAATAAATTCACCAGCAGCTCTTAAGTAAGGAGTGTTGTGGCTAAATTGTTAGGCTTGTCGCCCTGGGAACGACATGATGTGATAGAACCGTTTTTTAAATTTTAATTATTTTTCGCATCCAGATGCTTCCTTATAGGGATTAGGATGCTAGTTGTCATCAGCTGGTTGACGAGTGACCATCTACGACCGTTTAAAATATCTTTTTTCGTTCTTTCTTTCTTTCTTCCCACCCCTGTAGATTGTACCTAGCAGTAGGAAGCCGTGTGTCCGACATGCCTAAAGGCAGAGGAAAATGTGTGTGAAATAATCAGGAAGTAATTTCTCCATGTGGCGTTTGCAAAGCAGTGTTTGTTCTGTGTGAAAACAGCACGTGGAAATTTTTCTCTTGCTGAGCTGTCGTTCGGGTGGATCTGATCTTTTCCTCCAGTTTATCCATTGCAAGGTTTATGCCCGATTTTTCTGAATGATCTGGTTGGGGTGGTTTGTGGCTTAAAAAAAAAAAGATTGCCAAAGTGAGACCACTGGGTTTCAGCACGTGTCCAAATGCCGCGGCGGAGTGCTTAGAATTGGGGTGGATAAAAATCAAAATTTGAGTTTTCAGAATCAAACGGATTTCAATCATGATTTAGATTTTTTTTTTTAAAAAAAAATCATTTTTAAAATTCAAATCATCCAACCAAATCTGATTGTGTGTGTGTGTGTGTGTGTGGTTGTCTCCCTGGCCCCACGCTCACCAACGAAGCCGTCGCTGCTTTTTTCTAATTGTTGTCCTGCGTGCCTTGTCATGTCGTCCGTCAGATGCTGATGAACTTGGGTTAAAGAAGGGAAGAAAGAACGGCTTTGCCATTTTCTCCTCTCCGTTGTGTGTGTGTATGTGTGAGAGAAAGAGAGTGGATGCAGTGTTTTTTTTAGGACTCTTCTCTCCCCCCCCCTCCTTTCAACAGCTCTCCCCTCCCTGTTCTTTCCTGGACGGAGAGAAGAAGACATTTCACTGGCTTGATGTTAACAAAACAATCCTACTGAGTACGGAAAGCCATCTGTTAGGGCTTTGGGGGGGTGGCTTTAGGGTCCGATCTCGGAGGTCAAGGTGGCTTTCTCAGGCCAGAGGCTGTGCAAGAAGAAATGCTGATCTCAAAGGTTGTGTCTGTTTTCTCTCTGCGGCTTTGCTTACTTTTGCGTTTGCTTTTTTGTCAGAGTTTAAACGAACATACGAGACTTGCACCTTTCTCTGATTGTAATTCGTTTGGGGCATGCACGTCCCTCTTTCTTTAGGAGACATCACCTATCTCTTAGTCTAACTATCCGTCTATCTTGATCATCTTTTCCCTTTCATCCTTTGGTATGTTTTGGTTCCTAACATCTACAATTTTCTTTGGTCTCTGTCGCACATTTGTATCTGCAGGGGTTTTTTTTTGTTTAAACTCTACAAACGTCACTGTATTTCATTCATGAGTTTGTAGGTTCCTATACATTTGTTCCCAGTTCTTGACAGCTGACATTGATCTAAACCCCTGTGGTCTTTTAATGTCTCATCTTAAAATAGTTGGGAATTTCTGCTTTAGGTGAACCCTTGTACTCATATAAATCAGAATCTACTGCTTTGAAGGAGGATGCTTTTCCTTACTTTGAAATATGATACACATCTGGATTGAGGGACATTAATTCTGTTTTTAACCCATGGAGTTGTCAGCGTGGGTGTTGAAGGCGGTTTCTCCTCGCTTCCCTCTCTCTCAAATTCATAATATTTTGTTTGGAGGGATAAATTTTCCAGCTTAAGGAATATTGCATTCCTGATTGTTGTGGGTTTCATCCTCTGAGAATTTTTTTTGTATGTGTGTGTTTTTGTACGGTTGTACAAAACCTGTGCCTATGGTAAAACTTTATATCGAGGGAGAAAGAAATATGCATATTTTCACGGATACAGCAGCCAAGAGCGTCAGGCAAAGAAAACTCAGCCCACACATCTACAGGGACAACACAGGAAGAAAATCACACCCACGAAGTGCAGATAGATTTTTTTTAATGCTTTTATTTAGCATTATGATACTCTCCTATTTGCAGTCATGTGACATTTGATTCTAATTTCAGAGCCATCAAAGGGAGGTGACATGAATACACCCTGGATCCTCTTGTGTGAAGTTCAGCCCAGGTTTTCTTGATTTGTTGTTTTTTTCCTGTATGTTTTCCTTTTACTGTATCAGCATGTTCTGAATTTCCCTTGACCCAGGGGGGAAAAGATACCAAAATAGAACAGCTACTGAACACTATTCCGGGCTAAAACAAGATTACAGATTGAACGTTCTTGGGAGAAAACCTCCCGAAACGCGTGTCTAAATAAAAAAAAAACCAAACAGGGAGGTTATTTTTAAAAGCTGAATTTCCAGGGCATATAAAGCTACACATTCTTTCTAATACGTTTATCTCCAATTTCCTGCAGGCAGAGAGAGAGAGAGAGAGGCTTCTGGAGGTGGTTTGGGAAGAGGATCAGCTTGGTTTTTCTTCTTCCCCCCCCCAAAAAAAACTGGGACATCCAAGTAGTTTTTCTGCCTATAGAGAACATGCCTTTGAAAAGTTAGACGCCCTTCCCTCTTAAGCCAAAGGGCATCTGTTTTTGTGGTGAAAAAAATCTGCCCTGGGGTGTCAGATTAGCCGAAGCTGCGCCGAGCGCGCCATGTGACCGTAGCTTAATGTCGGGGAGGAAGCGTTTAGAGGTCAGCACAAAGGCATTTCGCCAGAGACTGCCTTGCGCATGATGATGTGAGAGCGTGTTCTTCCCAGTCCTCGCCCTTTTCTCAAAGCAGCTGGTGCTGAGCAAGAAGCATCCTCCGTCCGATGAAATAGCGTGCGTTTGGGGGGAGCGCCGGGTTCCTCTCCGCTGGGCTTGAGGGCAGATGGGGGTGTCCACCCAGCTGCCCCCTTCGAGACCTTTTGACAATAGTTTCCATCTTGCCTTCTTGTGTGGGTCGCATCCGCTCCAATTTTTAGTTGATGTCCAACTTCAGAGTGGCGCAGGCCGGAAGCGTCCCGCGTGGTGGCCAAAGAAGGTTTGTGTGTCTCTCCCTTTCGTCTTCCGTTCTTCGGTTTCTAAAGCTCGGGAAGGAGAGTCCTTGAAGAATTAAATTGCTCGTTGGCAGCCCATGCTAAAAAAAGAAAAAAAGGGGGTAGCAAGTTAGACAGATATATGGCTCAGGAGCAATGAACACATTTTGCATGGGAAAAGACCCCGTTTGGATCCCTGTATCTCCAATTTACAGGCATTCCGGTTGCAAAGCTGCGGAAAACCATCAGGCTGAGCAGCAGTGTGGTCTACTGGTTAGAGGGTTGAATCGGCCACTGGTTGAAACCTGGGATTCCAGCTTTTACCGAGCTGCGAGATATTTATTTTATATTTATTTTTTATTTATTTATGTATTCTATTTATATCCCGCCTATCTGGTCTTGCGACCCCTCTAGAGATAGGTAACGTGACCTTGGGCGGTCACTGGCCTACCTTCCAGGGTTACTGTTAAGACTCAAGCTCAAAGGACAAAAGCTATATAAACCGCCATGGACTTATACTGTGTGGAAAGCGGGATACAAATATTACTAAGTAATTTATCAGAGCCTGAGTGCTCTCACACAGCCTACACAAGATTCCTGTGTACAGTACTAATACCGTATTTTTCGCTCCATAAGACGCACCAATTTTAGGAGAAGAAAACAGGAAAATATGATCTGTTTTCTTTGCTCCATAAGACGCACAGACTTTCCACCCCCACCCCCGTTTTGTGGGAAAAAAGTGTGTCTTATGGTGCAAAAAATACGGTACATCTGCATTACAGATAACAGGAATTAAATCTTTGTAGCTCGGCTGAAGCCACCTAGTGTTCGTACCTTTTGCAAAATACGAACCAGAGACTTTTCCGACTTGACCACGATGTTAGATCTGCAGAAGGTTTTCCAGTATATAAAAAGAACGGTAGCCATTGGAAAAGAGGGTGAGCACCTGGCAGGAATATTTGCTTATCGGCTTGCAATTCTCGGTGGTGGTGGGAAACATTATTATCCATGGTTGGGTTGTCTCTTTTGCTGTTTTCGGTGTTGTTCTTTTGATCAGTGGAAAGAATGCTAAGCCACAAGCGTGTTTGGTTTGTCTTTCTAAAGAATTTGGAAACGATCGATGCTTGTTCATAGCTTTCCCTTGCAACCTGCTTTTATTCCAAAGTTGCTTTATTGGGGGGGGGGAGAGAACGTTTCTTGGAGGCTGAGTTCAAACCAGTGAAACGGGGTTGCTTTTCGGTGGCTCAAGTCAAAGAGTAAATGGATCAATGAAAAGGACAAGCGGTTTGGAAAGCGTGCGGGACCGGAGGACGTGCATTTCCAAGCGGGGAAAAATGTGTGCAGAGCTTGTAATCCCATGCCTTCTGAAGTGTGCAGATTTCAATCCCCTCTTGGCTTTGTCCTTGTGCTGGCCTGCGGCCTGAAAGTCGTAGCCACTTCTTGGATTCTCCCGGATTCTTTACCCTTCCCTGCGTTTTCCCTCCCTTTTCCTGTTTTGTTTCTCCCACCATCCCTGTTTTCCCCCCTTTTTTGGGGGGGAAGCAACTGAAATATCCTCCCCCCCCCAGACACAATGAAGAAATATAAATCAGACTGTCTTCAAAGCGCCCGTTGAAAATGTTAAAGAGTGGGAGAAAAAAGGCAGAGATTCTGACGGTAGAAGGAAAGCTTTTTAATTGCTAGCCAGAGGAGGGAGGAAGAATTGGTCTCTCTCTCTGTGTGTGTTTTGTGTGTGTGTGAGGTAGGGATTCTGACGGTAGAAGGAAAGGTTTTTAATTGCTAGCCAGAGGAGGAAGGAAGAATTGGTCTCTGTGTGTGTGTGTGTTGTGTGTGTGTGTGTAAGTGAGAGAGAGTGCCTGCCTGTGTGCGTGGTCCTTCTCCGGTGCCTGCAAATTTCCCATCATCATCATCCTGACAGCCTCGCGGCGCGTATCACTCTGTCAACTCCCCAGCCCTGGATGGGGTTGCTAGGCAGCCGGCTCTTCTGTATCCCAAGACTTTCTGATTTGCCAGCCTTCCCCAGGCACATGGGAAGAAGGCCCTTCGTAGCCTATCATCTGGAGGGACCTTTGCATGCATTTTGCATACAGCCAAGATCCTGTACCTGGAGTGGGATGGTGGAGGAACACACACACACACACAGAAGCACACACAGACATCCTGTTGGACGAAGCCTTTGGAGGGGGGGGGAGACGGACGTAAGGAGAAGCGGTGGAGAGAAGGATTTGCTTTCTACTCCAGTGCGCTCAACCAGAAGAGGAAAGGTTGGGACTTGCAAAATGTAGAGAGAGAGAGAGTTGTGGGGAGGGGGGGGGAGAAAGAGAGGGAAACTAGGATGCAAAGCCTGGTCCCGCCACCGGAACAAGGAAAAGAGGTTAGTGGGTTAAGTGGCGTGTGTTTCCTGCCTTCGCGAAGGTGCCTATGGCGAACGCTGAGCATGGAGGCGGTCATTCAGCCATTAGGTGCGCATGGAGAGTGCGGAGGAGCCCGCAGGGAGAAAGCTGGAAAGCTTCTTCAATAGCCGCTTTGCTGTAAAAACTGCACTCAAAGGTCCTGCAAAGGGGGGGACCCGGGGTGGGGAAAGCGGGCCGAGGACTTTGCCATTCCCCTTGGTGGATTCTTCTTTTCCAGATCACTCTTGAGTATTTTTTTTTTTTTTTTAGGGGGAATGGAAAAACAAACTCGGGAGTCCTCAAGTGGAGCTTCGTTTCCGAAACCGGGGCTGCGTCTCTGCCGTTAATGGCCCGAAGCAGCCAAGGTTGGGGGGATTAAAATGTCCGGTGGGGTTTTAGGTTCTGCCAGAACTGTTTTAAAAAAAACAACAACAACTTTGCACCGTTCGTCAGAAATGGGATCTCGGGTGCCGAGAACAAACCTTTGCTCGGTTCCGTGGAAAAAACGTGAGCCGGAGGACAGTCACCGGCTTGATTCCGTCCTTCCTCGTCTTTGTGGAACGGAGTGATTTTTTAAAAAATATCAATCCAGATAGAAGAAATTTAAATGTTCATCAGCCGTCTTTCTTCTTAACAGAAATCTGGGTGGGTTGGAGGGTCCGGCTCGGTGATGTGGACTATCTGTTATTTCAAGTGTTCTCAGTCAACGCAGGGACTACCCAATGCTACTTAATAAGGTTTGAATGTTTCCTTTGAATTATGGTGGCTGGCTGCACGTAGTTGGGTTTTTTTTTAAAAAAGTTCATATGTTTTTTTCATAGGTACTGTTTGATGAGTGTGAAAGGATGCTTCACAGATTTTCACATTGATTTCGGGGGTACCTCTGTTTGGTATCACGTTTTCCGCGGAGGGAAGGTAAGCGAGGCGGATGGTCTCTGTCTGAGGGTCTCTTGTTTTCAGTCTCGTATAAAAAAATTCTTTTGACTGCTTATTATTCAGATTACCTAGAAATCTGCTGGGATGGCTAAACATGCAAAGGCAGAAAGAGAATTTTGCTAGTGCAGAAAAGAAAAAAAAGGACACATTTTGAACATCCTCATTTATTTTTAATTTTGCGCTCCACTTTTCAACCCTTCTGTGGTGGGTTGTTTAAAAAGCAGCTTGGGGCATTTTAAAGGAATAAATAAACAAAAATGGCAAGCTCATTAGGAGAAAATCAGAAGGCTAACAAACTAAAGACACCTGTGAGTCAGAGCGAAGATCTTAACAAGAACCTTTCCAGTTGAGGAAAAGCATAGGGTTGGCTTTAGGAATGGAGAAAAAAAATACATATTCCTTTTGATTAATTCTAATGAGAGCCTTTCTCTGTTTTTAGGCTGGGTTGCGTGTGTTTGCCTATAAACCCATATTTTTACATCTTTTGTAGAAATATATTGATGTGTAACTCAAGGTCGCACACGACGGTTTAGCTGGCTATGTTGTTCCGTATTTATAATTGGTACCTTCTTTGGTGTGAAATAATGGAAAGCGAGTTACTGGGGTGACAGGCAGGACATCTATGCAACCGAATAATTGCACAGGCCTGATTCTTCCCAAAGAGGTTTCCAGTGTCTGTGCCACCGTTGCTTCTCAGAGTTGAGAATCCGTTCTGGGCTGGATCGCACGGAGATGCCTAAACTCTCTCGTCAGAGGAGATCCAAATAAATGGTTTCTCAGTGCTGTAGATCGTAGGTGAGCATCCAGAGATCTAGAGCGGTGCACGTGATCAGGGTGTAAGCTTCGTGCCTGCGAATTTGATTGACTCTTAGCTAAACTGTTTAGGCTCCTCATGGACGTAGATTTGCAACCTATCCTTAACGGGGTGCCTATGGATCAGGCAGCAGCACCTCCTAGTAGATTCAGAACCCGCATGGAAATCTTGACCTGAACCTTTGTTTACTCTCTGTGGTGGTGGGGCAGGTTTCTGTGCTCACACGACTCAGCCCGGTTGCCTGAAAAAGGACTGCAGGGGAGAGAGTGCAGGCATCGAAGGTATAAGCAGAGTAAAGCCAGTACGGGGAGCCAGAGTCTTCTCAAAGCTGGCTGCTTGGCCGGCCGGTGCTCACTACTCCCATCTAGAACCGTGCGCCAGCCAAGGACCAGCAGGCAAAACCTGCCACCAGGGGAGATTGAGAAAGACGTTCAGAGTGAGGGTTCAAGAAGCTTTTGACAGGTCCCAGGTGCAGCTTGGGTTTGAGACACAGGAAACGTTCTGGGTTCTAGGTATGCCATAACATGGTTTCTTTCCCTTTGGACCTCTTTGGGTCAGAAGGCAAAAACCCCAAGGAAATGTTGCTTGTAATTATGAGAGGAGGCACCCCCTTCTTCTTCCTTCCTTCTTCTTTTTTTTTAAATTTCTAGATCTTTTGGTTGATTCCTCCAACGTTGCAGAACCTAGAACTCTACGAAGAATGGGTTCTCTCGGGAAAACAAAGTGACATTTTCCTGGGGGACCGGGTGGAGCGATGCCAAAGAATTGAGCTGAAACAAGGGCACACCTTCTTCATCCCATCAGGTAACTCTGCCTTTAAAAGAGTTGTCTTCCCCCCCCCCAATTTTTTTTTATCTGTTTTCTTTGCATTTCCTGAGACACTTGGGTAGACACTCCCAGATCTTCACCGTGGCCAGACCTAACTGCACAATCGACTTGGGTGGGAACATGGTTCCTGTTGTTGGAAAATCCTGAAAAAAGTTGCTGTAAGTCAGAATTGACTTGACAGCACAGGATGATGATGATGATAGATTGGAGCTAACTGCTTCTTCACCATCAGTTATTATCTAAACGTACAAAAGGAACCCATCATGATAGATTATAAATATATTTTTCTTCCTTTCTCATCACACTAGATCATCTACCAAGGCTGGAGACTCAGAAGTATTTATTTATTTGATTCATATACAGTGGTTCCTCGCATTATGATGTTAATTCGTTCCAGCGAAATCACTGTAGAACGAAAAATTGTAAAGCGAAATTAAAAAGCCCATAGAAACGCATTAAAACCTGTTTAATGCATTCCGATGGGCTTAAAACTCATCCTCCAGCGAAGATCCTCCATAGGGCGGCCATTTTCGCTGCCTGTCTTGCGAGGAATCCGTCCCTAAACACAGCGGGGAGCCATTTTATTTACCCGGCGGCCATTTTGAAACCGCCGATCAGCTGTTGGAAAATCGTTGTTTTGTGAAGAACCGGTTCCCGAAGCAGGGAACCGATCATCGCAAAGCAAAATTCCCCCATAGGAAACATCGTTTTGCGATCGCAAAAGCGATTGCAAAAAGTTCATCGTAATGCGATTTCGTCATTAAACGAAGCGATTGTAATGCGAGGCACCACTGTACCGCCCATCTGGCAGCCAAGGACTGCATATTTATTTCTCTTCCTTTGTTTTCTTTTTTTACCTCCTCCCTCCCTTTCCTAGGGTGGATCCATGCGGTTTATACCCCCGTAGATTCCCTGGTGTTCGGTGGAAACATCCTGCATAGCTTTAACGTTCCCATGCAACTTCGCATCTATGAGATCGAGGACAGAACCAAGGTAAAGACGCTCAGATCTCTCTCTTGACTTTGCTCACACATGAAACAAGGGGGCGGGGGTGTTCAAAGAGGTGTGACTTGGAAGGTTCCAGAAGGCCAGGAAAGAGACTCAGCTTGCCGTGAGGAGATCTCCTAAGTTCAGTGTCTGTCGGGTGGCGCACAGGCTCCTTAGCGCTTTGGCACTTAGTCCCTGCCGGGCAGGGAGCAGAAGAGGACCGAGGCTGGCAGGAAAACTAAGCTTGGTGCAAGTCGTCAGTCAGAACCACAGAGGCTTCGTGGGAAGTGTAGGGTTACGCCTTGGATAAGCCCATGTTCCCAACTGATAGTTTAAACACCACGATCTGAGATCTGTTGTGTTTCTGCCAAATCTCCAGGACTCGGAGAGAATTTCTCCTTCCTTAAAGGAAGTCCCCAAGCCCCTTGGTGACTACTTCCCTCCTTCCTTCCACCGACCTGACCTGTTTCCGGCAAGCCAAGAAGCTAACAAAGGGAGCGTTCAGCTGCGCCTGGCGGGCGGCAGAGGCGAAACCTGTTCTTTGGCTGTCTTTGAGCCCATTACCGATCCGGAAACCGGCCGTGGTGCCCCCAGTGGGCTGGAAATCCCATAGCTGCCGGTCTTTCCTCGTGGGTAGACTTCAAGCGCCCCGACGGGGTTTCTCTGGCTCGCACCTCCCTGCTGTCCGTTCTGCTGATCTCTGGAACCACACACACGGACAAAAAATCTTATGGCACCTGAACAACTAACACATTCTGTTTGGCAGGAACCTCTGTGGATCGCTGCCCATTGGGTTAGATGCTGTGGGCTAGCATCCATGAAAGCCGCTTCCAAGAAAATCTTTCAGGTGCTCCTGGTTAGTTTTGCTGCCACGGACTGGACTAGGCGTCCTCCTCTTACGTCTTTGAATTTGTTTTCGTTGAAAGCAGAAGGCCCCGTTGGCTCCTTCCCCAAGTGCAATCCGCTCTAGCCGGGCACTGTGGGTTCATTTACGACAGACGCCCACTAATCTTTGGAGTTTGGAAGCCAAATTTTGGGGGCCCTGCAGAATGGGGAGTGTGTGCAAATGGGGCCAGGGTATTGTTGTTCCAGCATCCTCTTGGCGAGGTGGGTTGATGTTGGATCAGTAGCCGGCCGCCTTCAGACCTTCCCCAGTCCCTCCCATCATCTCTCATTGTCCCAGCGCAGGCTTTGTGAAAGACCAGCCATGGCGGAGCGCTCCCGGCACTCCTTAAAACTATGCCGAGCCCCCACCTCTTCTGTCGGATTCATTCTCCAGCCTTCGAATTTCTGTCCGATGCTGGTTTGGCCACGGAACCCGGCCTGTGGTTCCCTATTGGTTGCTTGGCACTTCCTGCGGGCAGCTCTGGCCAATCACGATCCCCTGCCAGTTGCTTCCACTGGAATGCTGGCATTTTCTCCTCTCGTGCATCCTTGGGGCTACCGGGATTCCATAAGGACCTGTTCTCCGTGGAGTGGGGGCCCTGCGGGTATCCCTAGATGTCCCCCACCCCACCCACCCCCAGCATGGCACTTTTGTGTCACTTGGAACACGAACGTCGGCATTACCCTGCTGTGCTTTTATACAGCTCGTTTGGGAGAAGACTGGCTACTAACGTCCGGAAGGAGAGAGGTTGTGAGTTGTGTTGCGGAAGACAGCTAGGGTGAGAGCTACACCCCCTGGCAGGTAACAGGTAGCTTGGTTTCCCTGCATGCAGACCCGTGAGTCCTTTTCTGTGGCTCACGGTTTCTTGAAATGTGGCAGGAAGGAAGCATTGTTTATCCCAAAGGATAAGGGAACCAGACCCCACTCAGCAAGGCTCCCAAACATCACCTCCGCCCTGGACTCCTTGTGTGGAAATTCGGCAAGTCACTGCCTCTCCCTCGGTTCCCTATCGGTATGACTCCGTGGTTCCCAACCTTGGGTCATGCAGGTGTTCTTGGACTACAATTCCCAGCAGGCTTCACCACCCGTTGTGCTGGCTGGGGCTTCTGGGGGTTGCAATCCGAGATTTCTTGAAATGTGGCAGGAAGGAAGCATTGTTTATCCCAAAGGATAAGGGAACCAGACCCCACTCAGCAAGGCTCCCAAACATCACCTCCGCCCTGGACTCCTTGTGTGAAAATTCACGTCGGTGTCCTTTTGAAAGAAAGCGGAGGTTTTGAGAAAGCTCGCTTTTCATCCCCGTGAATGCGGAGATGTCCCTCAAGATACGTGGGTAGCCGCTGCTGAAATGTCCGGAGACGGGTGGCTGAATCAGCTCACGAGGGGTGCCAGTCTGTGGCTTCAGTTATTTATAGCTGGTTCCCCCAGCCATGACCGGCAGAATCAGAATAAGTTGCCCTAAATAACATATAGTACAAACTTAACGTTTGCGTATAGTACAAACGTAACAGGGAGTTTTTCTGGCACCTTAAAGATAAGCACATTTTATTTGGTGTGAGCTTTCAGTAGACCATAACTGACCTCACCCAGTTTTTTGGCCGAATTTCCTAAATCCTTAACATGCTGCACGACTTCTTGGGGTTTTGTTTTCCTTTTCTCCCTGGAACAGACTGTCATGGCTTCCGCTCTGGAAAACCCAGAGAAACGGTGTGCAGAACCCACAGTATTTCTTGACCAACGTGAACCCCAACTCTGTCTAATTGAAAGTGAGCCCCACTGACTTAATGTGCCAGGAAACGCATTTAGCATGGCTGTGTTTCTTCCCATGAGATCAAACAGATAGATAGATAGATAGATAGATAGATAGATAGATAGATAGATAGATAGATAGATAGATAGATAGATAGATAGATAGATAGATAGATAGATAGATAGATAGATAGATGGGTGGGTCAATGGGTCAATGGGTCAATGGATGTTGTTGGCAGATCAACAGCAAACTAACAAAATTGCTTCCAACAGACTAAAGAGAGGGAAAGGTGAAACTTAGCAGATGACTTAATGTGCCAGGAAACGTATTTAGCATGGCTGTGTTTCTTCCCGTGAGATCAAACCCAAAGTATTGATCTTTCGGTTGTACGTTTCGGCAGCGGTGGGATTTGCAACTCCGTGACGGCCAGCTCAAAGAGGCGATGCCATGCTTTAGCAGGAAGGAAGAGATAGATGGATAGATAAAAAGAAAGAAAGAAAAGAACCCCATGGGCTCTGTTTAGGATAACACTGGAAATACGGCTTTTTCATAATTATTGATGCTTTGGTTGTACATTTCGGCAGCTGATAAAAACGTCGCGGTGGGATTTGCAACTCCGTGATGGCCAGCTCAAAGAGGCGATGCCATGCTTTCCTCCGCTTGGTGCTGAAACGGCAGCATTGCGCCTGCTGCCTAACTGATTTTAACTGTTGGCGGAACGGCCTGACGCCATCTCGGCATCAAACAGCAAGCTAGAAAGTGGCTGGGATGGTAAATCCTGGTTTATAGTCTGGTCCAAGGCCGGGGCAAAGGTTTTCTGGGAAGCCTCGATTCGATCGATTCAGCAAGGCGATTTAGCACATTCATTTCGACTTCACGTTTGCTCAACCAAATTCATTTGAAATTTATCAGCCACGTAAAAGCAAGCGTGTACCAGATCCCCTTCTCCGCACTTGTTTTTCTTTTGGAAGACATGCAAATGTCTCTTGCCTAAATTTAAGTAGTGGGAAAAGTCTAGAAAACGTCAAATGTATCCCTTACGTAATGTTCGCTGAAATTTACGAGCCATGTAAAAGCAAGCGTGTGCCAGGTCCCGTTCTCCGCACTTGGTTTTTCTTTTGGAAGACATGCCAATGTCTCTTGCCTAAATTTAAGTAGTGGGAAAAGTCTAGAAAACGTCAAATGTATCCCTTACGTAATGTTCGTTCTAGGACCTAAAATCTGCATTGGGGGAGCCCCGCCGTGGCTCCCCCTGATCTACCCTGATTTCTGATATAACCCCAAAGGTGGGCCAGCCAGCGTCTGGAAGAGAATTGTAAAAATTGTAAATAAAACATCATTGAAAACCACAAAAGAGTCAGCGAGCAAAATTCACCTGCCAGTGATGCAGAGAGAGAGAGAGTGAGAAGCCAACCATATTTGCTGGTCTCAACCTAAGATGATGTAGGCAGGACAGACAGACAGAGCTCCTTGACTCTCGCTTTTTTAAATCTTATATCCTCCTGATTACTCTCATCAAAGAACCTACATCCCATTTTGATAAAGGTGCACTTTTTCCAGAGAAAGACGTTTATATATTTCGTGGCGTCCTGTTATACAGTAAGTGTTAGGGCTGTTTTTGATAAACGTAGTACAGTAGCGGTAATATTGTTGGGAGTAAACTCTGGTGGTGGTGGTGATGATGATGGGGGGTATTCCGTGACTGGGATGGAGAACAATTCCAGTAGTCCTCCTTCCAGCAGGATATGGGGACCGAGGAAGGACAGGTCTTGAGGGTGTCAAGAAAATCCTGCAATCTGCCTAAACTATTTCTTTGGATCTCACTGGGGGCGGGTGGAGAGCCACACCAGGTCTTGAGAGGCGCTGAGCTGTAGAGTTTTGATATAAAAGCCTACGGGGCATACTGCTTCAGCACGTTTAAAAACGATAATTATATCTGCAGCTAATCATGCGACAGAGAATCTCCATGTTTGGGGGGCAGTGTATGTCGGTTGCGGGTGCTGAGAGCAGCAGATTAAGTACCGTATTTTTCACTCCATAAGATGCACCTTTCCATAAGGCGCACCAATTTTTTAGGAGAAGAAAACAGGAAAATATAATCTGTTTTCTTCGCTCCATAAGACGCACAGACTTTCCACCGCCAGGTCTTGAGAGCCAGTGAGCTGTGAAGTACCGTATTTTTCGCTCCATAAGACGCACCAATTTGTAGGAGAAGAAAACAGGAAAATATAATCTGTTTTCTTCGCTCCATAAGACGCACAGACTTTCCACCCCCCTGTTTTGTGGGGGGGAAGTGCGTCTTATGGTGCGAAAAATACGGTAATCGCTGTCTTCTCCTCCTTATGAGTCCCCAGAAGATTCTGGATTCTTGCAATGGGACACCTTGGGTGAGGAGAAGAGCAGCCAACTATCTTAGTTCGGGAGATGATTGTCCTTCAAACATCCCAGATCAAGCACGACCGGAGGGAGCAGCTTCAAAAATCGGGTTGTAGATACAACCTCGGTGGCCAGCTTTTGCACCTGCCGAGGTTCCCAGTGGCTGCCCTGAGACCATCTCCGGCAGCATGTGTCGCGCCAGGATATGGCCCAGCAGCCAGATCCTGCTGCTCACTGAACCGTACAGTTGTGAACAAGAAGCCTTTAAAAAAAATCTCTTTCTCTTGAGGAGACCTGGTGGCCAAGCTGGGTGAGGTTGTGAAGAAGTACTTGATGACCCTTTTTATTTCGTTGGAGGGGGGGAATGCATATCTATATGCACAGAACTGGAAGTTCTCATCGGTTCCTGTAATTTTTTTTTGAGACATTTGGTTTTTTTGTGTGTCTCCCCCCCTCTCCCCCAGTGTTATTTCTGTCGAAGTCCCAGAGCTATCTTAATATTTTTTACTTTGAACTATGAAAGCTATCCTTCTCCAGTGAGGATATATTTCCCCGCTTGCTCTTCAGAAATAATTAGGGAAAAAAAACTGTGAATTGTGAATTATTGATCAGAGGACTTCCATTTGCAAAGCGTCAATTAAATCCTCTCTTCTGAACCCTTTTAGAGCAAGCTTGAGCCCTTTCATAGGAGGATATATTCAAATTTTTAAATGAAACTGTTTCAGATATTCTGATTCTTTAATTTCCTGTTTAATAGGAATTCTGTCAGCCCCTTAAGGTGGCTTATAGAATCAAAAAAGTGGTGCAATATTTGTTTATTGCATTTGTATCCTACTTTTTGTAGATCTAACCGACTGGCCCAAATTTACCCGGTAAAATCCATGGGTCTTTGTGGGAGAAAAACCTGCATCTCTCCAATTCTCCGTCCAAACATTCTAACCACTGCTCCTTTCTGACTATATCACAGCATTGATTTACATTTATATTCCATCTTTTCCCCCCAACATACAAGCTGATGTGTGGGGAAGGCAAGTAAACATCCCAAACGTTGGCCACAAGCTGTTTCGTTATCTCCCTTAAGACCATGTCCTGGGACCGCTAAAACCTCAGAATACCACGAACCCTGGTTGTAGCAGCCGAGAATAACACAAGCACACACCTCCTGGAGAGGGGGAAATCTAACAGCTCCATGTTGCTTGTCGTGTTCTTGCAGGAACAGTACTGTTGTTTAGCCAAAAGGGGGGGAAAAGGAATTTCCTGGGTGAGATCATAATAGATAGATAAAACTTTATTACGGTCAAAAGACCAGCCACAGGATGAGATCAGTAATGAAGAGACATACAGTGTTACCTCGCTTGACGAGTATAATTTGTTCTGTTGAAATCTCTGTTAAGCGAAATCCTCGTCAAGCGAAACGAAAAAGCCCATTGAAGTGCATTGAAACCGGTTCAATGCGTTCCAATGGGCTAAATACCTCAGCGTCCAGCAAAGATCCTCCATAGGGGCAGCCATTTTCGGTGCCTGTAAAGCGAGGAATCCGTCCTAAAACAGAGTGGGGAGCCATTTTGCACAGTGGACGGCCATTTTAGAGCCACCAATCAGCTGTTTAAAAATCATTGTCTAGCGAAAAATTGGTTCCCGAAGCAGGGAACCAATCGTCAAGTGAAATTTCCCTATCTAAACATTGTTTTGCAATCGCAAAAGCAATCGCAAAAACTTCATCGTCAAGCGGTTTCATCGTTTAACGAGGTAATCATTAAGCGAGGCACTATTCATTATGCTGCCCATTCGTCCTCCACCCTTGTTCATTCTTCAGTGGTATACTGCCTCTGGAAAGAGAGGCTTTTTGAATAAAATATTGAATTAGAGGCAAAGAGGGAATTGGCTGAGGGACGGGAGCCCGGCTGGCGAGACCATTACGAACTCAAGTTGACAATTTGAGATCGATCTTTCCACGGTACACGGGAGCACTGCATGCCTTTAACTTGCCTTGTCTTACACATTTGAATTTTTTAATATATTTATTGAAAGAGAGAGATTTTTTTAAAAAAATCAGTAAAACAGCTAAATTTGTTGACGCTCAGAAACCTGTCAGCAAAATGTTGAGCAAACCCTGTCTTTAATATTCCCCAGGCATGTGGCTGAAAACCTTTTGAAGGCCGAGGGGTGGAACAGGCGACTTTCCTGTTTTGTAAGTCAAATTCTTTGCAAATTTTGTTTCCTGCAGTGCTCTCTTAGGGGGAAAAACAAATTTAAGGGGACAAAAATACATCATAGCCAATTCCCTTTATGTCTGATTTTTAATGTAATTTTCAGGGGGCCCCCCATGTTAGCCTGGGGCAACCAAACCCGCTTGCAGATGATGAAAAGTTATGTCAGATAAAGTGTGTCAAAACTTTTTTAAGACGTCAGGAAAAAAAACCTGTTGTTTTCGATCCATAGTCCAAACCTTTGAACGATTCTCTAGAAAGTTAAAAAAAAATATACTATTTGCATGGCTATTGCAAATATTACATATAATGTAATGGTGATCTGTCTATATTTCTAGCAGCATCCCCTGCACCCCCTTTTCAGGATTAATAGTGCAGAAAGACCCAACCTGAGGCTTGCGTCGCCTCAATGAAAAGATAGTTCAGGTAGCGCATGATATCGAAACACTGAGAAGCCGAGTCTGATCAGCATAGACAGCACTGGATAAATACAGGACTGGCTCTGGACTAGAGGATCAAAGATGGGGACACGGGCCGAGGGCCCCAAACCAGCAGGGCGACTGTTACCCCAGCAGGGCTACACCCGGTACAGAGAAGCCGAATTGCTTGGGTATACTAGCTGCATTTCAGCTGTAGATGCCAGTTAAACATTCAGTTAGAAACATGTGGTGTCTGTCGGAAAACAGCATCGGGTAATCCCGAAAACTTTATTTTTCTGCATTCATCCATTCCTGCTCTGTTTCTTTCCCCGTTGGAGAAGAGGGCTGTGTTAGAGGCGCTGAGCAGAAGGCCACAATATAGATGAAATTGTAATGCACCTTTTTGCAAGAGGGAGGGGCTGTATTTATTTATTTATTCATTCATTCCTCCATTCATTCACTTTATATGCCGCCCATCTGGCCCTGGGCCATTCTGGGCGATTTCCAACACAAAATAGCAAAATAAGGTGGATGCAACGGAGGGCAGCCTCCCATTTCTCATATAAGATCACATCTGTCCTGGATCAGAGCAGTGGGTCCTTCCAGCCCCACATGTTGTTCCCAAAAGCGATCCTCGAAAGTCATGGCTTTTCCCTTCCATCTGCATTCCGACGATGGAGAATCGTGTTCGTTTATCGTGTTTTTATTTTATTTGTTTTAACGTCGTGAGCCCCCTTGAGTTCCCCTCATCGGGAGAAAGGGGGCCTGCCAATGTGACCCTAAATAAATAAATGAATTAAATAAACGGAGTGCCTTTAGGGGGTATACTGTTTCTGAATTGAAGAGCTTTTGCTTAGATGCTGTACTTAGTAACCGCGGATAGCCGCCCATCTCCTTTTGTGTTTTTTTCCCCCCTCCTTTATAAATGAGTGCAATCCTTTTCAGAAGCTGCCGTAATCAAGGACCGTCCTTGCAAAACCTCTCTTAGCCAATTCTATGCCACAATTAGGTGTTAAGTCCAGAACAGCCTTCTTATCTAACACTTCGTTTGGCCTCATTTCGGTAAAGCTTGAGGGGGTTGTGGGCAGCGTTGCAGGAAATGGAATATAATTCCTAGGTCCTGAAACCATCTGTAGATTCCTTTTTTTAAAAAAAATGTGAATTCTCAGGGGACGTCAAGCTTGCCTTTGACCGCTCCTGCATTTGCCCAGATCGGGAGAAGATGCATGTCTTTGTTACAAGATTTATTTACTGAAAGGTCGGGAGGAAGGCTCTGTCTCAAGAAGCCAGCCCCCGCCCCTTTTCTTCTTCTCCTCCCGGGAAGGTGTGGAATTGGTGAACCAGAGAACCGAGCGCCGGGAGAAATCAGGCAGGGCTGTTCCGTACTCGGAAAGCATCCATTTCCCCTCCCACCGACCTTCTGCCCCTCTCCGCTCCTGCAAAGCCAGCCTGCGCTGTCTCAGTGAGATGATGACCGACTAGAGGACGCTCGGCAAAACTTCTCGGCTTCCGAGATGGACTGATGGTTTCTCTCCTCCTGCTTTTTTTTTTTTTTTTTTTTCAGGCCAAATTCCGCTACCCTTTCTACTATGAGATATGTTGGTATGTTCTAGAGAGATACGTGTTTTGCGTCACCCAGCGTTCCCACCTCAGCCAAGAGTACCTGAAAGAATCAATGTTAATTGGTGAGTGAATTCTTCTTCTTTAGAAGGGGTCGGCATCTTTTCTGAAGCAACGGCCCTCTGCTTTGCCTGAATGCACCTTCTTGACGATGGCATCCTGACGTTGCCGTGTCGAATCCCAGCCTTCCTTACCCTGATGTGGGGAGTTGTAAACCCACCCACCCCACAAGTAAACTTTTCTCGGGTTCTGCGCTTGGTGCTAAGAATTGGAACTTGGGACCGTCCGGTACTGGTGGGTCCCTGACAGGTGCAAGCCAGGTCTTTAAAATGCAGGGGCTACTTGCCGCTCCTTGGAGAAAAAGCTTACAGCATCCAGGAGATGTGTAGATCCTCCAGTACAGCAGCCTCTGCTTGGCACGGTGAGCCATTTTTCTGGAGCCACAATTGATTTCCTGCCTTCACTGTCCCCCTAGTGACATCCTCCAAGAGAGCGCATCTAACCGTTTCGGTACCGTTTACGGTAGGGTGGGGAACCAACATGTCCCAGAGAAGATGGGTATGAAAATTCAATCAACGGGGGAAAGATATGTGTGGGCTTTGTTGAGGTGTTTGCACTGCCAACGGTGGAGAAGTAAGTGTTATTTTCCCCCCACTTCTCCTCTCTGCCAGATACAACAAGGAAACGTAGCCTGGATAGCTTCTCATCAGATTCCTGGGTAGACATGGATGAGGGACCGTGCGATGCCCACAGTCGGGAGGAGAAGGACGAGACCCCAGAAAAAAAAACCAAAGCTTCAGCGGATGGACCCTCAACTCCCAATAGCACCCATTCGGAAGGGAAGGAGGTTTTGGGGAAGAAACAGAAACCTCCGGCCGCCCGGTACCTCCGGAGGACTTTGTCCAACGAGTCGGACGAAAGTGCCAAGTCCGCCCCGGCGGACGATCCGAAGACGCCCACGGGCTCCCCGCCCGCGGAGGTTTCCGCCAAATGGACTCACTTGACGGAGTTTGAACTCAAAGGTTTGAAAGCTCTTGTAGAGAAACTTGAATCCCTTCCAGAAAACAAGAAATGTGTTCCTGAAGGCATTGAAGACCCCCAGGCCCTGCTGGAGGACATGAAGGTGGGTTGGAGGTCTGGTCGAGCGAGGGACCAGAATTAGTTAGCCCTGGCCTTCAGAGCGTTGCCCGTCTGTCGTCTTTCCAACCTTGGATAGGCCGTAAGAGAAAAATCAACGTTCAGCGTAGACACGCACAGAGACACACGCACGCACCCCGAAACATGTTTTTGTTTAACGACCCGTTGTTCCTCGTGGCTTCTTGAAATGCCGAGGAAGTCCCTTATTGTTTAGAAAAGGAATCCCCTGTCTTGCTCGTTATCGTTTGGATGGGGGAGGGGAACCTTTGGAGGAGAACATGACACAAAACGTCGACAAGTCTCGTGGAGAAACCTAAGAAGTGCTTTAAAAGGCCTTCCTAAATAAGGGTCGCAAAGTGCCTCCGAGACTCTTTCCGGTCACTTCCAAATTCACTCCCCCCCAAAAAAAAAATCCTGCAAAAAAAAATAATAATCACATGCTGTTCCTGGAGATCTCCGAAAGTTTTTTGTTTTAGAAGAAAACAGGGTGAAGCCCTTGTCTGCCTTCTCTGCTAAAAAAAAACCCAGATGGAGGAAAGCTAGTTGATACGTTTTAAGTTGAGCACCCTTTCTTTGTTAAGCCAGTGCTTTCCAACCTTGCGGTTTGAGGTGTTGTTCCACAACAATGCCCATAAGCTTTGTCAGCACAGCCGCAGGGCGGGACTTCTGGAAGTTGTAGTCCGAGACCATCTGAGCCCCCAGATTTGGAAACCCCCTGAGAAAAGCGAGCACGGCCCCTCTATTCCTGTCTTGGTGTCTGACTCTTCACGGAGTCTCTGCCCCCAATGAGCTTCCATTCTAAAGTCCCACGCAGCAGGGCAACAGAAGGGAAAAGACAAAAAAATGGAAAAGGGGAGGTTTGATCTGCTGAATTACATGAATGTAATGGGTTCACAGCTGTGTATCGTATTTTCTGTGTATAAGACACCCCCATGTATAAGACGCCCCCCCCCCACTTTTCTAATCCAAAATTAAGAAATCTAAGTGGGGCTTAGCAAGTGTGGGGGGGAAGGGATCAAAGCGCTGCAGGATAGCTTTGATCCCTGCTTTCCCCTCCACTTGATTTTCTTCTCTCCTCAGCTTACTTCCGTGTATAAGACGACCCTCAATTTTTAATCTAAATTTGTTAGACAAAAGTATACTCCTATACATGGAAAAATACGGTATATTTGGGCTGAGTGTCAGCAGGCGACGGCTGTGCCACTGAAAAGTTTTGTGTCAAAATCTTCCCAACAAAGGTGGGTTTTTAAGGTGGGATTTGAAGGGAAAGCCGGGTCGGGGCACAGTGAACGTCCCTAGTTCTGAGCCTTGCCCCCTTGGCCAGGTTGGGGGGCGAGATCAGCCTCCCCAAAAGACATCAGCTTTTTAAACTTGCGGAGTTTTTAATAGGGGTAGTGCTTTTCTCTCACCCTATCCCTGTGTTTCACAGGTGGAGGGTTAAAAACTCAACCAGCCACTGCTTCTAGTTCCTGTTCATGCAGTTTCCGTTTGACTTCGGAGGTTGTGGTACAGGAAGGAAACGGAGGTTTGGCTTTCGGCGTCTCAGGAAAAGGGCTTTTCCCATCCAGGGGATTTTCCCACTCGTCTAGCAGAAAGCGAGGTGGCCTTGCATGTGGCAGACGGAGCCACGCTGGCCCGCTACATACCCTCCAGGATTGAAAATGTAGGTGGGGGGGACACATGCACCCTCAGCCCCCCGGCTCTGCCTTTGCTGAAAAGTCTAGCTCGCCTGTTTAATTGCCCTTATCCTGTTTTCCTTGGAGAACATCCATGTTGATCGCTGCAGTCCGGCGTGAAGATTAGTGTTCGTACGGCAGCTGGAGGCTCAGGATAGAATTATTACTGTATATGTTCTGCATTCATATAAGCCCTTTTTTTTTTCCTTCTCAAGCCCATGCCTTTCGATCTTGCCGATCCGCACAGTTCTGTACTGACTTAGATCCCGGGAGGCTCAACTTCCATGTGGAATGGTGGAATATTGCCGTTTGAATTTATAAAGCTGTGATTTTTAAAAGAAGGAATTTAGTGGTTTTGAAAATTGGAAGATTAGGAGGGATCCAAGCCTGCCCTGAAATCTTAGCCCGTTCCTTATATGACTTTTCATCGATTAATTGATCTGTTCGTGTGGCATAAATTTATACGGGAGGAAAATACTTTCGTACTTTGGTTTTTGAGACAGGAAACATCTGGCCAGCCTCATCTTAGAAGAGGCATTCCTGATTCTTGCAGTGGAGTAAATGCTTCTTGAAAGACCTGCAGTTTTTCGAAATGCTTATAAGTTGTTTCAGTCATTTTAAAAAAGCATCCTTTGTGTTGCTGAGAGAAAGCTTCTTAGGCGATGCGCACTTCTTGGCTACAAAATGGGAATTGTGAATCGCAGAGTAATGGCAATAAACTGCGGTACTGCAGCCAAAACTCTGCTCACGACCTGCGGTTGAATCCCAGGTAGCCAGCTGAAGGTTCACTCAGCCTTCCATCCTTCTGAGGTCGGTAAAATGAGTACCCAGCTTGTGTGTCGGGGTGTCAATGTATAGCCTACATAATTAACTTGTAAACCGCCCAGAGAGTGCTTTAAGCTCCATGGGGTGGTCTATAAGCAGGTGTTCTTTGCTTTTGCACACCCTTTTCTTATCCTGATACTGACCAACCTTGCAAGGTCGTTGTGTAGGACAGAGTTGGAGAGGAAGAGAGCAACACACTCTTGCTTTGGAGGAAAGACAGGTAACAAACACAAAAATGGAAATGTCAAAGCGCTTTCTGGTTAATAAGCCTGTTTTTTTTCCTTTCAAAACAGAATATTTTGAAGGAGCATGCAGATGATGACCAGAATCTTGCTATTTCAGGGTTTCCTGTGGTCTCCTGGCCTAAGAAAAATGCAAAGGTAGGACTCTGGAGCCAAATTTAGTCTTTACTAACCCATTTCAAGACTTTTTTTCTTTCTCACCTACAAGCCCAGCCAGCAAAGAATCTCGAAGCGAATTGTAGTTGCTAGGTTATAGCTGTGTCAGTTTCCAGCCTAAAGGCCTTTAAGGAAGCAAATAAGCTTCATACAGGATAGATCCCTGCTCCATAGAGGATAAAGGTCATGGATTTATCTGAGGAGCATCAGGATATAGTCAAACAATGGGTGGATTTTCCTGAGAGCCTACCAGCCCCTAATCAGCGATTTCTTCTCGCCAGCACTGACTTTTCCACAAGGCGTTCCTTTCGATTAGTCTGTATAACCCGCATCAGGATTGTTTTAACTTTGATGGTTTGAAACAAACCAGAGTTCTCCAATACATTCGTTTGTTGCCTTTTAACTTTTTGTTTTACGTCGTCTGCGTGTGCTGCATGAGTGGGACGAAAGAAGGGATGGTCAAGTTTGAGTTCGCAGAGGGCCGCTTGAAAAACTTTACTTTTACCCCAGCAGCCTGACGTGTCTTTAAAACGCATAAATAAAGAAGGAAGTTCAAAAGGGTGGGTGAAACAAAGGCAAGCCACCCCCTAATCGGGAAGGTATGATCTGTGGTTACAAAAGTTTAAGGCAGTTTGGGTAGAATGTTTAAACTGACAAACCTTGCACCTTATGATTTGGCAAGCAAGAGTTAGAAATCATGATAAAGATTCTTCTGGTTATCAGACGTTGGTTTGTGCTCCTTCTTCCTTAGGTCCAACTTGGGGGACACAAATCCTGTGACTTAATCGGGTAGTCCCTAATGTGTGAAAGGACATTCACCCAAACTGTATTATAAGAAGGCTGTTCTGGGTTTAAAACAACACACAGTGTAAGGTTAAACTGTCCCATTTGCAGACGATACAGTAAACTTTTGTTCCTAAATATGTTTTTAAAGGTCTTTCCTTCTGCATCACCCATTAATGCTTTTTATATTTACAATCAGATAATCAACAACTCTCCTTACAGCTCTGAACTGGCTCCTCCTTTTTTTCCCTTCCTGCCTGGAAAATAATTTCATTCATGCATTCAATTTCTATTACTGCCCATCTGGTTACAAGGCCACTCTGGGTGGTCCACAACATGATAAAACAAGTAACAGTTTCAAATAAATTGACAACATAATAGCAATAAAAAAATTAAATTAAACATATCAATCAACTTAAACTAAGAAAAAGAGAACATGAAAACAACTAATAAAGAGAGGTGGCAGAACTAATAAAACTCTCAGAGCACCTCCACACTGTTTTACTGTTTTAAACAAATAATAGCAGAAGGTTCTCCCTGTTTGTGGTGATCTGTATAAAAAGGACCGGTCCTTTCTGGGTCTGTGGTGGTTGGGTGTAATACATGTGTAATCTATTAAGCCTAAGAGGAAACATAAAAAAGAATCACAACTCACAATTGCACATCAAGGGATCAGCCACTGTGGCTTTATGATTGTATAAAAACTGAGTGGTTTAAATGCGTGTGGAGTGATAGAGCAGCCCAGCCTGCCCTCCCTCGGTGGAAGAAAACAGAGACAGAAGTGAAATAAATAAATAAATACAGTAAATAAATAAATAATAATAATAGTAGTAGTAGTAGTAGTAGCTCTCAAACCACACCCTCAGAGCTAGGAAAAACGGCAGTATTAGGAACAGCATACATAATGGCACTGGTATTTAACAGATACTTAGGGTTTTGGGGTTAAAACTTGCATCTGTTCTATAGTACCAGTCCTTGTCCATTTGATTGACTGTGCTGTTCTTATTATTTCATTTCTGTCTTACTTTTCTAATAATACAGTATTGTAGTAGTAGTATTATTAGAAAAGTAATACTGTAATAAAAGTAATACTGTAATACTGTAATAATAATACTGTAATGATGATGATAATGATGATAATAATAATAGTAGTAGTAATAATAAATATAAATATAAATATAAATATCACCATCATCATCACCATCATTATCATTATCATCATCATCTCTCAAAATTCCCAGACTGCATGGCTGCAGAGGGGATGGTTCTACAGGATGGTTAGCCTCAATAAGTGACATTTCCAAGCTGTGCTCTCGCTTTGGAGAAGCAGCAGTAAAAACAGGAGTAAGCAACACCCCAAAAACTCTGCCAAGAGCCAAGGCTGGCCCTCCGTTTAGGTATGGCGCTCGAGATGTTCCGGATGGTGTTGGTTCTCAACACCAGCGCTTTTTGAAACCTGTGATCCGCTGCTAGCTTTCGGAAGTTCCTTGGAAGACTCAGTACACTTCCCCGGAGATTTCCTCTCTGCATGCTGCTAACAGACTCGATCCCCCAGGAATCATCCAGCATGGCGGCCAACGGGCGACTTTCAAAAACTGAAGTGGTTAGATGTATTTAAGGTCAGCCCAACGCAACAGGCAACACAAACAGCTACCCAAGAAGATACAACTAAGGAGGAGGAACAACACCACAAACTGATTGGGAAAACCACTCCAGGAGTCAGGAGAACATGTCGCACACACCCCTAAACATACAAATCAATTGCATTCATGCATTTTTTAAAAAATCTATCTAACTGGGTACTTTGCAACACAGTTGTCCCCCAAAATAATGGTAGACCTTTTTGTGCTGCATAAACTATGATGACGGTGAGCAATCAAGTCGATTCCAACTTGTATCAAGTTTTCCAGGGCTCTGGAAACGATTTATCCGGCTCTCTTTGTAGTGGCATGTTGGGACTATGCAGCTTACACCTGGGCTCCAGGTGATCTTGGCTGGCCCCTTTGTGGGGACAGTCTGTGAGAATTCCTGGCTCTTGGCACAATCAGGCATCCCAATGCAATGAGCTAGACACCTACAAAGTTGGCAAGGCTGTGGGGTTGTGTGGGTGTCCTTGGGTGTGGGTGGGTGTCTGGGGGGGGTCAAGGGTCCCAGGAATGAGAGGGGAGACCCCCCCTCCCCGAGGTGGGGGAGTTGCAAGGACAGAGGGGCGCCCCCTGGGTAACAAGGAGGGGGTTAGGGATGTGTGTGTGTGTTTGTGTGTGTGTGTGAGAGAGATCCGCAAAGACAAGGAGGTGTAGACAATGTGGGATCACAATGTGAGACACACACACACACACACACACTGCTTCCTGCCCCCCCCCTTTTTGCCCTTGTGTCTTGTCAGGAATGAAGGACCCAGAGAGGAAGAGGGGAGGATGAGGAGGGGAGGCCGAGAGGCTTCTCTTGAACCCCACAAGAGCCATTGTCTGAAAGGAAGTTTTTATTTTTACCCACCCCCTTCCTTTTTTAAAAAAAGATGCCCTCCTTTCTTTTCCCCTCTTTTATATGGCTTCCCCCCCCTTTTTTTTTCCCTTTTGCAAATCCGTGTCCTTTTTTTAAACAGCGGGAAGGGGGGGGTTTGGTCCAAGGGTCTTGCTTGACGGAAAAACATGGAGCTCATGGGTATGTTTTTCTTCCCATTTGGGGACTCCTTCTGTCAATGGAGTTCGTGTAAAAATACGTGTGTGTGTGTGTGTGTGTGTGTAGGGTGTGTGTGTATATAGGTTGTGTGTATATTTATATGTGTGTGTGTGTGTGTATATATATAATATATATATGGGGGTGTATATAGGTTGTGTGTATATATGTATGTGTGTGTGTATATATACACACACACATACATATAAATATACATACACAACACCCATAGAAACATGGATGTCTGAGGACAACCTAGTGTTTTTGTGGAGCATAACTGTTTGTGGAGGTTAATGCAGCTGTTTTCATCTTCAGGCTGCCATCCTGGGAGGAAGGCTTAATGAATAAAGTAGGGTTTACTTTTGAGTAAGCTTGTAGGGTCAGGGCGATAAAGCTTCAGTACTTCACTTACTTCACTGAGAACAATGTCTTTGACCTACTCTCTGTGTTTGTAATTTCAGCAAGTCTTGCTCCTAGGTAAAGCTTGCAGCCCCTTTACTCGCACATAAATGCGCAGTCCTATGCACACCCTTACCCGCGAGGGCAAATCTCGTAGGCTTTGGTTGTGCTTCTAAGCAAACATGCCCTAACATGCACGTCACCCAGAAAGCTCAGGGTGCAATGGCCTTCTTGCTCTTTTGTTTCAATACCTGTCAGTTGTGGGCTGACAGATTTACCGGGTAGGGGCCTTTTTGCCCCTTCCAAATAGCTTTATGCAATTTACACCATTGTATATTCACCAGTGTATTCAGTGTTTGAAACTATCTCCATAAAAACATTTAAAAAGCTAAGCCGAAAGAACAGAACTGAAACAGCCGTAGCAGTGTTTTTTATATAAATTATTGAAATACTTGCTATAAGTGCCCTAGGTAATCAGCAGGGTTTTTACGTGGCACTTAAATGCTTTTAAGCTAGGCGGGATGAGAGAGCCGCACCGCGTCGTCGAGAGAGCCGAGTTCCAGTTCTGTAGCGAAGGTGGTGGTGGTCAGTGGGGTTGTATATGGACTGGGTCTAAAAGTGGAAGTTCTTTTTAACAGCAAAAGAAGTTCTAAAACTGTGGCTTTCGTTACTCAGCCTCAGTGGTCAGAAGCCGTGAGATATCAGTGGCACTTAGAGATGTATTTATTAGGCTTTAAAAGTACCACAATATATCAGGTTTTTAAAAACATCTTTAAATGGACTAACACAGCTGCCCGTTTCCATATTGTTAGGGTGGAATCCAGAACCTGCTGCCACTTGGTTTTTTCACTCCTCTGTAGAATGAATGACTTACGACTTTTTAATTTGTACGTTTTGCCTTCCAGAAGTATTGTTGTGGCCCTGTGTTTTTAACAAAGCGGGTAACCACAGGCTGGGCGCAGTGATCCATAGGGTCCCTTCCAGCTCTAGAGTTTAAAGATGATGATGATCATCTCACCTAGAGTCTCATGCATGAAAGCGGACACCAGCGCAAAACCAACATAAACAGCCAAGTCAAAGATGATGATGATCATCTCACCCAGCGTCTCACGCATGAAAGCGGGCACCAGCCTGCTTTAGACAGCGCAAAACCAACATAAACAGCCAAGTCTTAGACAGCTCCCAGCGGGAAAAGAAATGTTCTGCAACGCATGAATAGCATCTTTCCCCAATCCTGCTGCCTTCCAGAGAGCTTGGACTACAACTCCCATAATCCCTGGCCAGTTTTGGATAATGGAGGAGGCAACCCGATCTGTCTCATGCTTCCCATGGCAGAACAGTGGCCCTTTAAACATTTGTTGCAGATACCGGCTGCCTAGCTGGTCGTAGGATAGAGGTGATGCCATCCGATGAGGCGAAGTATAGACAGCAAGGGGAAGGGATCCGTCCGGCTAGGGCCATCTGCCGCCTTATGGAGCATGCTCACGCTCGGAGTCCAGCTCAACGGTTGTGGGGTGTGGAAAAAAAAAAGACCATTCTGGGGTCCTGCAGTGAACCAGCATCTTTTAAATTTAAACTTTCTGCTTATTTAATCTCTCCCTGCCATGCCTCCTGATCTTTCCCCTGGACTGGCCAGTGTGTGACGGCAGCGACTCAGCTTCTGCGATAGGGAGGACGAGCGGCTTTGAGAAATTTTGGCTCCTTTGAACGTTGACTGTTCTTGTCATTTTTTTTAAAGGGCCAAAGGAAACTTGTTAGTGGCGTGTACAAATTATTTAGAAGCGCACCTTGGAGGCACCGTTCTCTATCTCTTAACTCAGAAGGAAGCCACTCTGAATTTAACGGGGCTTAAATGTGTGTTGGAGTTAGCGTTTTGAGTCTTAATTTGGTATCTTTTTTTACCGAGAAGACGGGATTGCTTATGTTTCTGGGCTAAACCACAGAGATCCAGTTTTACACCCTCCTTTGGCTTTAGGACTTAAGGTGGTCTACTTCAGTGAGGCGGCCCGGACTGCCCAAATCCATGCTCAGAGAGAGATGGCAAAAACAACAACATTAGCAGTCACTGGACGTCTGCTTCTGGCTTTGAAAAATAGACATTTTAGTGTGTTAAATTATTGGGCAGGGCTGCAACCTAACCATGTGGAGGCTTCCGAAGGCAGTAATTCATTTTCTTTGCTTGGAAAGAAGATTCAAGGCAGGCTTGGGGACGACAAAGACCATCTTGAGATAAGCCAAGCCAGGACCACACGTTGGCTACTTCTGCTTTACGCTGTTTGCTATGGGGTGTTCCCCCCAAGGACCCAGTGACCCACCACTAAACCTTGGAGCAAAAGGCCAAAAACATAGAATGATGGACTTCCTAAACCTAGACATTTAAGTATCACTTTTTATAGCTTTAAACCCAACAGTGATGCTCTTCTCCCGTTGTGATCAGTCTCTCTGGTTTGGTGCAAGTTGCTTATTATGAACATACCACTCTGAACGTTCCTGATCCCACCTGAGATCGGAAGCTGAGCAGGGTTGGGCTCAGTTAGGATTTGGAAGGAAGGCTCACCCGAGATGCTGAGGCTGAGCCAGGAAGGCCGGGGGATCCCTCGTGGTCTGCCTCTAACCCTGTCCTCAGGAGGTGGATTATCATTTTCCCATTCGGGTCTTTTCAAGAGAGACAGTTAGATGAAAACTCCAGGTTTACCGCTGCTCAGATCAGCCTTCTGCAGCTCACGGGAATGATTTTAGAGTTGATTGGTCTGTTCTTAGTCGTCATTTAGGACCACTTGCGGATTCTAACAGCGCCCTGCCATTGACTCTTCTTTTCCAGAACCGGGCCGTGGGAAGACCCAAAGGGAAATTGGGACCAACGTCCGCGGTGAAACTCGCGGCCAACCGGACGACGGCCGGAGCCCGCCGGCGGAGGACGCGATGCCGCAAGTGCGAGGCCTGCTTGCGCACCGAGTGTGGCGAGTGTCACTTCTGCAAGGACATGAAGAAGTTCGGCGGGCCCGGGAGGATGAAACAGTCCTGCATTATGCGGCAGTGCATTGCGGTGAGCGTCTTCCTGGCCTGGTCGCCTGGGCAGGAGGTGGGGGGATCGCCTCCAGGCGACTAGTGGGGGAAGTGGGTGTAGAAGTTGAGGCCCTTGTCCGAGAAGGAGGAGGGGGAAAGAAAAGAAAAAAGAGAGAAAAGCTCCAGAACTGAGTTGCGGAATAGTTTGCGGGAGACTGCAGAACTGAGTCAAGCTTGGTGTTCTTTTTAGGCCATGTTGTGATCTGCCTGGCAGATAGGGTCATCATCCCTCTCTTCTTCTTTTTAAAACAAGAGTTTCCTGGAGTTGAGGATAGGGCAGTCAGGTACAGAGTGGTCATTCCTGTTGCCATTTTTGTAGAGCCACGTGGCTGGCATCTTCCCCGGAAGCAGCATCACGTGTGCCTCTCCGTTGAGTAGGCGATTTGGGTGTCTTTTCTCTCCAGAAGCCCCCGTCCCGTGTCAGAGCGGACGGCCATTGTGCCTCCGTCACATGTGGCCCTTTATCACGGACAACTGGGCCAAAATGCGTCAAATAAATGGGTGGTGGGTGTTTGGGTGTGTGCAGAGGGACGTTTCCAGGAGACGGACACCATTAGGGGTGGCTGCTGGAGGCAGAAGAGTTGGCAGGCTCTGTGCTGCTGCTGCTTTTCCTCCCTTGCTCCTTCTTTCCTGATCTTTTCTTGGCCTTTTATGTACCTAGCCGGTTCTGCCCCACACAGCCGTGTGTCTGGTGTGCGGAGAAGCAGGGAAGGAAGACACCGTGGAAGGGGAGGAAGGCAAGTTTAATCTCATGCTCATGGAGTGTTCCATCTGCAACGAAATCATACACCCTGGATGCCTTAAGGTAAGGGCTGGTGGGAAACGGTGACCCCTTCCCCCTTTATTTTAGGTCGAGATGGGAAATCAAAGTTGGGGGGGTCAGTTTAAAGTGTGGAGGGGTCTGCACTGCAAAGTTATGGCATTTCAAACCCGCTTCAACCTCCAGGCTTCTGTCCTGTGAAATCCGGGACTGGTCCTTTTTTCAGGGACTTTGAATTCTCTGCTGCAGTTCATGGGATGGGCCCAAAAGCTCCCGGAGAGAAGAAACTTAAGTTCCTCATCCAATACAAATCAAAGGATGCCATAAGGCTGCAACCATCACTGTTACAGTGGGATCAGGTGGTGCCTTGCAGATATTAGAGTTGTGCCATTTTAGATTTCTGGACTCCCAACCAGCACTGGGCCACTTCCTTTTCAAACAGGAAGTAGCCTGGAGCTAGGCCGTGAAGCCTTTGAACTAGGCCTTTTCTCAAGGTGAGTGAAATTTAGATCTCCGTAAGTGCAGATCTGCCAAGTGGAACTCCCAGAATGGAGTTAAAAATCCAGAAATTCAGAATGGCACATCCCTAGTACAGAATACTCCTCTGCCTTGCGTAATATTTTATATACATCAGACTCTTTACAAGACAGTTTGGCAAGCCCTTTTGTCTTGTTTTGCTCTCCTTTGGTCTGCCCTCCACTTAAGCGGATGTCTAGACGCTGTTTACTTTACCTCAAGCAGGTCTGCCTGATCTGCATCGTGGCTACCAGATTGTGGTTCAGTGGCTGGGGATGGCGGCAGGGCGAGCCCCAGGCTCTTTGGCTTCTGTAGATGTGCTCTGTATGTTCTTCTCCCTCTCAGGTGCGGGAATCTGACGGCGTGGTCAACCAGGAGCTGCCAAACTGCTGGGAGTGTCCAAAGTGCAATCATGCTGGCAAGTCAGGGAAAGTGAGTTTTTTACTACCATGAATTGCAGGAAGCTCGAAGGGTGGCCTTTAAAAAAAATCGGTGGCAATTTTAAATTTTTTTTCTATTAAAACGCCACCAACCCCCATCCACACCATCCCGAGGCTCTTAAAGCCTTCTCCAGGGCAAGCAGGGGCTCTGGGAACCTGAACGCAGGGAGTGCCAGAAGTTTTCGTTTGAGCGAATAATTTCCTGCACCGGATCCAGTTTACGCCACTGTAACTTTACATAATAGGATTCTGTCCGTTATTGGAATCACCTCTGATCTGCATCGGGGGGAAGGTCTCCGAGGCCCTCTTGCATGGGAAGCAGAGGGGGGGAAGAAACAAACTAACTCTGCCAGTGGGCAGAGCCAAACATCACTGGCTGTTCCACCTTGACGTAGTTGAAGATCTGTCTGCTCTCGGACATGTAGTTGCTGACCAGTGCCCCCAAAGGACCAGGCGAAGGAGCCCTTAGGGGCAGACAGACCTGTGGTCTTCCTCATTTGGGGTGTCCTTGGCAGGGGAATGCCCCTGATCCTGGAGGCACAAACTCTGAAGCCATTTCAGGAGGTTGCCTTTCTACCAAGGCCTTTGGGGTTAACTGTCTCGTGGAGATCCGATAATGGTACACAGATTTATACTGCCCTGATGCCTTGGGATAACAGAACAAGGTAGAAATTGTTTAATTAATAAATCTGATCAGATGTGGGTGGTGGTGGTTGGTTTGTTTTTTTAAATTTCTGGTGCTGGTTGAAAAGACATAAGATATAAAGTTTGTTTTGTGTGCTTTGTCTCTCTGGCGTACAAGCAAAAGCGCGGCCCCGGGTTCAAGTATGCCTCCAACCTCCCCGGCTCTCTGCTCAAAGAACAGAAGATCAACCGAGAGAACAAAGAGGTGGCCCCGGATCCTGCCAAGCGGAAAGTGGAGTGTGAGGAACCCCCTCGGAAGAAAACCGACGAACGGCCCCCCAAGCCCCCCATCGATCCCCTTTTGAGGAGGAAGTCAGAGGAGGCGCACCTGCGCCGGAAACGGAAATTCGAAAAGCCCCAGGAACCGGCCCTGCGGAAGCGGGTGAGTCCCGAGAGCCAGCAAAATCTGCTTGTGTGTCTAAGCAAGAATGTCACATGTTGTCACACTTTGGGGGGGGGGGTTCCCCCAGGCTCCCCTCGCCTCTGGCAACTTGAGTTCGGGAGACCTGCTAGAGTGTTTGCTCTCTATAGGGCAGGTGATGCCCAATTAAAGAAATCAATGGGTTGACTTTGTATCAAGCCACTTTCTCATCTCCTGTGGTCTGGAAGGTAAATGTATTTCCTGGCCTCTGCCTCGAGATGGCAGGGGTGGGTTTCCTGAAGACCTTCTCATCCTCCGCCCTTCTTTCCTTCCAGCCCTTTCCTCTTGAAAGGGGCTAAAATACAGTGTTTCCTGGCTAATGGGCTTTTAAGAAGAAAACAATCACAAAGCGTCTTCTGCTCTGGGTCAGCAATTTGGGGGGGGGAGTGTGTGGCTGTCTGGCTGTTCTCGGACTACAGCTCCCATTTTCCTCCCCTTGGGGCTAGGGCGGAGGGCCGCATGCCCTTCTTTGAGCTGCATCAATGCCCAGCGGACAATGGCTATCCTTACCTAGCCCTTGTCTCTCGTTATCATTTCTTACCCACGTCTTTCGAAAATATGTCCCACCTTGTAATACTGCCTTTCGTCCGATTAGATACAATAAAGTTGCAAAAAAATTGGGAGCCCAGAAGCCCTTCCTGAGGTAGCCTGAAGGAGCGGAGGATGCATCTAAAAAGTAATCAAAACGGCAAGGGGTTACACACCATTTGAAAATAAAAGTCTGTGCCTGCAAGCTTCTCAGCTCTTTATATTCTGTCTGCAGGGGTGTGCGTGCAATAAACACAGACCAACCTTTTCCGTTACTTTATTTTCAGTTCTGTGCATTCTTACGGATTGTCAAATGTTTTTGGTTTAGAAGTTCCTGGAAGCCGTCCCCCGTTTACTCTCTGGGAGTAAGCCCTGTGGAACGGAGCAGAGCTTAGTCATTAAAGCGACATTTGCCTTGCAGGGCCCTGTGAATAAATAAATCCCCTTTGGTTTAGCAGGAAGGACCCGAGGGTGTATGAAAAGATGGTGTTGGTCACAAAAAAGCCCTTCTGAAAGGTTGCTAGTGCGTGCGTGTGTATGTGTGCACTTATTGGTGCCTCTTTGTTTATCAGTTTAACTTTTTCTTCCCCTTTCTTCTCATAGTTAAAACTGGGTAAAGAAGAGAAGATGTTCAAGAAGAAGGTATGTGGCTAATTTGTGTGGTTTTCTCCCCAGCCACCCACCCATTTCCCCCAGTGATGTTCCACACTAATCCTTCTGTTAGTTTGCTTGTTCGTTCGTTCGTTCGTTCGTTCGTTCGTTCGTTCATTCGTTCATTCATTCATTCATTCATTCATTCATTCATTCATTCATTCATTCAGTTTGTATCCTGCCCCCATTAGTCCCGAGGCACTATCCTGGGCGGTTACAACACATACCCTAAGACACAGAAATAAAGATCAAGACCTTGAAAGCCACAAAGTGTTCTGTTACAAACCATCTGAGCAAAATGTGCAGCAGGCGTGCCTTCGCATGCTGTTCTAGGTGCCTGGTACGCTCAACTGTGAGAGACAGCGAGCGACGGCTTTTAGTCAGGGTAGCTGACCAGAATTTCTGCGCAAAGAACCGTGCAGGTCTGGATCTCACCCTGCCGAGCACCGGACTCTTGAACTTGAGAGGGCATTTGGAGTGGAGGGTTGTTAAGGGAAAAGGTGCCACAAATTTTTCCTGGTTCTTCAGATTCTCAAAGCTGACGTCTTCTGAATTTGAGTGACTCTGCGGTTCGATCGGAAACATGGTGGGCTCCGATGTGCCCTTCCCGTCAATCATGGCAGGGGATTTGTTGTCCAGGGGGAAATGCCCAGCTCCACCACTACCCCTCCACCCCCTCTGATTATCATCTCCCCTTACTGAGCCCAAATCTCCCTTTTCCAGAGGCGGTCGTGGAAGGCGACGGACGACCGAACTGCCCTGGTGAAACCCTTGCGACGTTTCAAGCAGGAACCCGAGGAGGAGGAGCGCCTGGAGGAGCCTCTGAAAAGCAAGGAGAGCGACCAATCTCGTTCAAGTTCCCCCACCGCCGGGCCGAGTTCGGAAGGGGCCGAGTCCCGAGACAAGAAGAAGTTCAGGATCCGTCGGAAAGCCCGTCTTCCCAACAAGGAACTGAGCAAGGAACTGAGCAAGGAGCTCAACCAGGAGATCCAGAAGACTGAGAACAGCCTTGCCAACGAGAACCACCAGCCGATCAAGTCGGAGCCGGAGAGTGAGAACGAGGAGCCCAAGCACGCCCTCTGCCCCGAGCGGCCCCATCGCTTCAGCAAGGGCTTGAACGGGACACCCAGGGAGCTCCGGCACCAGCTGCTGTCCAGCCTGCGCAGCAGCAGCGGCGGTGGCACCAACAGCCCCAGGGTCGTCAGCCGGCCACCTCCTTCCCTCTCGCCGCCCAAGTGCATCCAGATGGAGCGTCACGTCATCCGGCCACCCCCCATCAGCCCCCCTCCGGACTCCCTCCCGCTGGACGACGGGGCGGCCCACGTGATGCAGAGGGAGGTCTGGATGGCCGTCTTCCGCTACCTCAGCCACAGTGACCTGTGTATCTGCATGAGGGTCTGTAGGACCTGGAACAGATGGTGAGAAGCAGGGGATGGGTGCTCATGGATTCATGGAGAAAAATCTGGCGGTCCTGGCCTTGACATCCGTGTAGGGAGGCGGGTGGGAGAGGGATCCGTTTCAGGGGAACTAGCAGAACCATAAAAAGTCTTGGCTTTGTTTTAAAACAAAACTGATTTATCCCATATCGGACCACTGGTGTTAGCCCAGTACAGTGGTGCCTCACATAGCAACGATAATCCGTGTAGCAAAAATCGCTGCCAAGCGATTTTGTCGCTATGCGATATTAAAAAGCCCATAGGAATGCATTGAAACTCCTTCAATGCGTTCCTATGGAATCAGCTGTTAAAAAATCATCGCTTTGCGATGATCAGTAAGCGAAACAGGGTACCGATCATCGCAAAGCGATTTTTCCCCATTTAAAACATCGCAAAGCGATTGCAAAAGCGATCACAAAAAGTTAATCGCTATGCGCTTTCATCATTAAACAGGGCGCCTGTTAAGCAAGGCACCACTGTATTTATTATTGTATTAATTGTATCTTTCTCCCAATGAGCTCAAGGCTCTCTTCTTCTCTACTTTATCTTCATCACAGTCCAGTGAGGTAGGTTGGGCTGAGAGTGACTACCTCAAGTGACCCATGGAGTTTCATCAGTGACTGGGCATTTGAACCCGGGTGTCCTGTGTCCTAGTGCAGTGGAGTAAGCACTCCGTCCCTCTGGCATGTGAATCCCCTTGCCAGCTCTGACTGGGAGCAGAGCCTCTCCTTGGCAAGATTCTTTCCTCGCCCTGCTTGGAAAGGAGGCTGGGGTTCCCTGGTTGGGTCTCCCACCCTAAGCATTAACCAAGCCCGCCCTCCTTGGCTTTCAGACATCACACAGGAGGAGGGGAGTTGGCCGTGGGGGGTGGAGACGTTGCGACTTCTAAGGTGCAGGTCATGTGCTCACAACTCTTGGCCTCTTCCAGAAATTCAACATCATTCCGTGGCTGGGCTGACGCTTGGTGGAAAGGCCACTTGGCTCAGCTGGAAAGGTGGCCCGAGTTTATCTGGAGAAATCACGGAGCGGGCAGGGGCGACGGCAGCCCTTTTAGCTTTGTGTGTGGACTGCTCTTCCCATTCAGCCCTAGAGGGCCAGGAGTTGCAATCTAGCGCCCGCCCTGGGGCGTGGAGGTTTGCAAGAAATTGCTGCCCGGTTCCGTCACTCGCATCCACGCAGCTAGAACAGACGGTGCAACCTCTCTCTTGGATATAAAACCTTGCCTCGTGCATCAAACTTGAGGCTTTCTCTTTCCCAGTGGTTCGGAGGTTTCTGAAGTCCTTGGCCGGAGGTCTCTCGGTTCAAGCCTTTCTTACCGAACCCTTCTGCCTGCTCTCCGTAGGTGCTGTGATAAAAGACTGTGGACCAAAATAGACCTAAACCATTGTAAATCCATCACTCCTCTCATGCTCAGCGGTATTATTCGGAGGCAGCCGGTCACGCTCGATCTGAGCTGGACAAACATCTCGAAAAAGCAACTGAGCTGGCTCATCAATAGACTGCCAGGTATGTCCGTCAGGGCGGTGGGCCTGACTCGGTGGACTGGCCAGCCGGGAAAAGAGGTGGAAGGGCATTTGGAGTTGTAGGCCTTTTGAGCCCTTCTCTCAGGAAGCCCCAAACTTGGCTTCCCGGCCACAACCCTGTATTGACCTAAGAGACCCTTGCAGGTCTTGACCCAAAACAAAGCCATGGTTATAAAAACTTGCAGATGTTCAAAGGATCTCTGTGAAAGGAGGTCACAGGATACGAGAGTCAAACTGGCCAACGGTTGGACCCGGGAGCCTCACAGCCCAGCGGGGATCTTAACTGTGGGGTCTCCCCAGTGTCGGTCCAGCACTCCCGGTCGCTGGAGCAGATATTCCAGCTCAGATCCTTACAGGATGCTGAGGCACTGCAGTTTTGCCTAGTCAAGCTCAATGACCTAAAGATACCAGGATCAAATCACGTGTTGCCTTCCGCGGTTATGTAAACCAGAGCCCTTCTTCTGTCACGATGCTCTGCTCGGTACGCGGTTGTTCAAGTTTGTTTCCGTTTCCTTTCCCCGCGCCAGGCCTCCGAGATCTCCTCTTGGCAGGGTGCTCCTGGATTGCGGTATCGGCTCTCTGCAGCGCCAGTTGCCCGCTCCTCCGGACGCTGGATGCGCAGTGGGTGGAAGGCTTGAAAGATGCGCAGATGAGAGACCTTTTGTCCCCACCGACTGACAACAGACCAGGTACACACGCTCTTGGTGGTCTCCGTGCTGGTAAAAGGTTGATCTCCTCTTCCGTTTTAATCTCTTGGGCTTCTCTAGGACAAGACAGCTTTCCCAGGTTTACTGAACGTTTCCTGTTTGCTCCCCCCCCCCAGGCCAGATCGACAACCGGAGCAAGCTGCGGAACATCACGGACTTGAGCCTGACCGGCTTGGACATCACCGACGCCTCCCTGCGCCTGATCATCCGGCACATGCCTCTCCTGTCCAGGCTGAACCTCAGCTACTGCAACCACATGACGGATCAGTCCATCAACCTCCTGACCGCTGTGGGCACCGCAACGCGAGACTCCCTCACAGAAGTGGTTTTGCAAGGTGTGGAGCTGGTTTGCGGGCGAGGGCAGGGGTGGGTGGGTAGGTGACCAACAGACCCACCCAAGCCATCCGTGGATCTGCTAAGTGGAAATGTTGAAGGTAGCAAGCATAGGAAAGGTAGACGTGTTCCCTAAATGTCCAGAGCATCCCGTTCAGAGCTGGAAGTTTGGTCTTTGAAAGGAGGATGAAGAAATCTAGTGCCCAGTGGTCAAATCCAGCTCTTTGACCCTTTTCTAGATAGCCACATGCTCAGCCCTGTTGGGAGATTTCCTTGTGGTTTTGTATGTGTGTGTGTGACAATCTGCCCCATTCTTAAAGGTCTTGATTCTGGACGTTCTGGTCCATTTTTTTAAAAACGTAAAATAAGTTCTTTGGACGACGGTCCCTTGGCTTTTCGCTCCCTCTCCCTCTGGTTTCTGCACAGATCACTGTTCTGGGAGGCTCAGCCCAAAGCAGTGATTTGTTGAGATCTCCTGGGCGTCTTTCCTCAAAGGTGCTTGAAGAGCTTGGCCCCACCCAGCCCATGCCAAGAAAGATAGGGCAGAATGATGCAGAGGCTGAGGGGGCGGGCAGGGTGCCTTGCTTGTGTGTCCAGGGACAGCTGTTGGGGATAAGAGCTGTGGGCATTGGGAGATGGCCCCCCTTGAGCCAATGTTCCTCCTCTCTCTCCTCCCCCCCCCCGGTGTTCCCTGACAGACTGCAGTAAAGTGACAGACCAGTGCCTCTCCTACTTCAAGCGCTGTGGGAGCATCTGCCGGATTGACCTGAGGTACTGCAAGCAGGTGACCAAGGAAGGGTGTGAGCAGTTCATAGCCGAGATGTCTGTGAGCGTTCCGTTTGGCCAAGTGGAAGAGAAGCTGCTCCAGAAGCTGAGTTAGTCTTGGCGAGGGCAGGCGTGGAAGGAGCCGCCGGGCGGCGAATCGGAGGACGCCGGGAGTTCGAAGCAGAGACCTGAGACTCTTGTTTCGAGAGGTCAGGTCTCGATGGTTTGGGGTTGCACAAGAAAGGCTGGCGTCTGGACCCTCTGCGGACCACTTCAGCCTGTGCCAGATCACGGTTACCCTGCCCGGGCCTCGTTTTATGGACCTTCTTGTGGTGTGACAGCCAAGGACGGTTGAGCCCCCATGGCAGACTGGAGCACACCTAAGGACCACCCCCAGGGCATGGCCGTTTCAAAGGCACTGTGACAGGTAGCAAAAGCAATCTCAATTCTGGCGTCAGTGGAGGTGGGCCCTAACCCTGCATTTCTATCTTTTGAACATGTTATTTTTTGTTGTTGTTGTTGTCACATCCATGATGCAGGACTATTTTTGTACAACTTTGTTTTAAAAAGTTATTTATGCAGAGTTCTTGAACGCATTGCAAAAAGTGTTTGTCTTTGGTTTCACATTGCCAAGTTACCTGGAGGTAGAGGGAAACGACAGCCTCTTCCCACTTAAAAGAAACAACCAGATAAGGCCCAGTTGGGATGGGAGAAGGAAAGTAGGTTAATATTTTAAAATGAGAGGGGGGAAAAAAGCATGTATTAATGGAAGTTTTATATCCTGCTTTGTATACTCTGGAAACACAGTAAGCATGTTGTGGAAAGGGGGTGTAATATAAGGATTAAGAATGAACAAGTTGCCAAGTTCCCCTTGTATAAAATTCCTTTTTTTCAGTTTTGAAACTTGGAATTACACCTGTACTCAGCAGAAGGGACTGCAACATCTGGGCCCCCCCATACTTGCTGTACAAAATCCATTTCTACTCCGAAGCTGAGCAGTTTGTGTTTTTGGAGCGAGTTCTTGTTTTACAATTTAACTGGGTTAATTTCTGATTGTAAAGAGAAGGGGAAAAAAACACTTCAGTATACATAAGTGCCATTGTTGTAAAGTGGTGTTATTTTCCCCACAGCCCTTTCTTCCTCATACACTTTTACCTCTTGTTGATTTGTACAAATGATTGTAAAAAAAATGGAGAAACTAGCTTTGTGTTCTGTTTGCATTTTTATTAATGGAGGCTACTGCCTATTTTTTATGGGCAAGGAAAAGAACTTCAACCCATATTCCCCACATAACTGTAGCGGCATGTCCAGTTGCATACCTTTGAGGAATCGCCCAGTGCAGCACTGCTGGCTTTATCCCCCGTGTAAATCAAATCTTTCTGTGAGACAAGATTTGAAAAGGACTGTGCATGTCAACCTAGCTCTAAAATAGGCCCAAGTTGCTTCTTGTGGCCCCTGTACTTCAGCCGTAGCTCTGAATAACAGTATTAGTTAGCAGTGGTCATGTTTTTCCATTGTCTGTGTAACTGTTGCACAAAGCAAAACTGTGATAAGCCCATGGACTCTTTTAGACACACACACACAAACAGGGAGAGCAAATGGCGACAGTTGCCCTCAGCCCTTGTAAGCTGCTCCATCACGTGTCTGGGCTGTGAGGAAGAAGATTCAGAATAAATGAAAAGCCAATTAACAAAATGTTTATTAACTCAGCAACCATTGTTCAGAATGGTATGGATATGCTACATTCTCTTTATGCTCGTACCCCCTGAATGAGGACTTGATCAGTTGAGTTCTGCACCTTATCTTTAAAAAAAAGATCTTTCTAAAAATAAAGCCATAATGTCTTGCTCCCTTCTGAAAAATAAGTCAGTCTTAAGGTATGAAAGTCACATCTATTCTTTCAGCCTGAAAAAAGCAGTCCCAGTCCCACCCGCCTCATATATTTAATTACTTAAGCCCAGAAGCACTAAAATGTACCTTGTGTGCATTGCTCTGCTTTCCAGGTTCAATAAAATAACAAAGACAAAAACGTTCACACTAAATGGGGGGCAGTCTGTAGAAAGATTCTGGGCCTCGACCACATCATCTCTCGTTAGCGGAAGCCCATCCTTTCTAGTTACACATATTCTAGTTTAAAATGCCTCTTCTGCTTCAAAATTCACATTAAACTTAAAACTGTGAAGTATTCGTATGATGCAGCTCAAATCTTCCTATGTCATTTCTGTACAGCAAGTCTTCCAAAATCAACCATGGCACCACTCAATGGCACGGTACCATCCTGCAACCAGATTCTAGAGCTGCTCTCCATAGATGTTCCCAATCAGTTAAACTTACAATGACTTCTAGGGAATTTTGCTGAGTAAAAACACAAGGCGTTAATTTCTATTGAGTGATTGATTTCAAGGAAAAAAATGTACCTAAGCACAGCTAGACTGCAGTTCGGTTCATAATGGCCAAAAGAAAAGCTGTAACTTAAGATCTCAGAAATGAGGAACCAGTCTTAAATGAAACGGGCCTTGGAATGAAGTCCGCTCCCAAATTAGCCTCCCTGCTAAAAACGGATAGCTTTCAATTAATTAAGGCAAGTAAGCTTCATCAGATAGCTGTGGAATGACATTCTGGATAATTGGCACAAGAGCACCCCATCACATTCACTGATGCATCTGTGGGGATGGGGATAAATCTGAATATTCAAGATGCTGGTTAGTTACACCCCTCTCCCAAGACTGCAACAGACAAGCCTGTGGGATTGGGAGGACGAAGTTGGAATCCTCTTGGGGATTGTTTTGCTTTGGCTCCGCTCTCTAGAAAGGCAATGCTCTGTTCCTTGACCCTCCATGGGCAATCCTATTCTTCAGAAGAGAGCAATCCGTAGCATTGGAAAAGGTGCTACAACTATGACTCATCCGGTTTCTGGTTATTGGCCATGCGGCTCTTCCCTTTAACAGGGCATGGGACTGCCAAAGCAGAAGCAGACCAGCCGAGCGCCTACACTTCTGTTCAGAATGCTATGAGTTACTGGAACGTAGGTCTGTGCCATGAAGCCTCCGCGCACGACTGCCACGGCCTCCGCGCCTACCTGGCCCTGGCCGCTCCTGCTCACGACTTGAACACGTGCACGGCTCGCACGACGTACTGGCGGCAGATGGGGCATTCGTTCATGCGCTTGCCACACTTGGTGCAAGTGACCATGTGACCGCACTCCAACAGCACGCAATCGATCACGGCGTCCATGCAGATCCGGCAGAGGTTGTCGTCCTCGTCGTTCAGCGGAGGCTTCCCCGGTTCTGTCAAGGAGCGAGAGAGCCGCAGTTAGAGCAGGACGTCTGCCTGGGCAAAAGTGGACTCTGCTTGTGACCCAATGCACAAAAGGGTTAAGACAAGCTCTTTGGCACCTTCTCAATGGAGGGGGCGGGAATTACACTGTCCCACTTCAAAGCCTCCGGGCACTAGACGTGGACTTCTTGCACGGCATTCTTACAGGTTAGTATCAAGGAAGCAGCAGCTAGAGTAGTCCCTCAGGCTGGGGTTGGATGGGATGAGAATGACGTACAAGGCCTCCCAACTCTCTTTCCCTGACCCTCCTTCCTACAAAGCCACCAGGAAGCAACAGACAACTGGGGCACTTACGCGCTTTGTGATTCACTTCGTGCTCCCTGTAAAGCCGGCTCACTTTCTCCACCAGCTCCCATTTTTCACAGCATCCAGAGTAGTTCACAAAGTTGCGGGCCAGGATTTCCTTCAGCTGGCGAACGCTGAGCCCTTCAATATCATCCAGGCTTGAAATATCCGACAGCGAGGCCCTTGTCCGTTTTCTGGACTGCCCAGGGCTCTGAAATGCAGAAACTGTCAAACTTTGACTGGCAAAAGTGAAGGAAATTGGAGGGGGGGGAAGGTTCTCCTCACACTCTCCTGTTCATTCAGACATCCCAAGGAAGCCCTTCTCCAGCTTCCATCTGCTTGCTGTATCAGAAGTCCGTCAAAGCAAGCTGTGTCAGGGCGCCAGCTCTCTGCACGTCTATCTAAATAAGCCCATCACTATCCAACAAGCTGAAACACTCCAGAAGTTGACAACAGGTCAGCATCTAGTGACTCTCACACCCCACTGCTGACACCTGACTACAATTTGATAGTCAGATTGTGCCTTGTTCTAAAGCGCAGTTTTGCAAGCCTGAAATTGCTCCAGAGCAGGAAGATGAGAGAACGGACTTCTGAACCGCTACTGCTTCAAGTGAGAATGTAGTCTGGTCTGGATTTCACAGGTGATCCTCTCTTACCTGCTCTTCTGGGTTTTCCTCCTCTTCACCAAGGTCTGCCAAGAGTCTCTCACTTTGGCCCTGCATGCATGTACCACAGTGTGAGTGTCACTCCTCCCATTTCCTTCCCCATCATCTCCCCCACTACCAGCTGGAGAGGAGAACCACTTGGATGTGTCCTCTTATTTCTGCTGCAACTGAGCCACAGTTTCAGAGTTCCCATCACCGCCCGAACTACAGAAAGGCAAACGGCCATCGCCCGCTGTCCATGACCATATATATATATACCTGTAACGGAGTCTCATTTCCTGTGCTCTCGTTCCTATGTGCGAGTTCTCCCTGAGAGGACGATACAGATCCCGAAAGAGAAACGGGGTACGTGGAAAAGCTAGACGTCTGTGACCGTGTAGAATACAGGCTGCTCGTCTCCGTTTCTGTTTCTGAAGCCAAGCCGTGGTGACACAGTATCAGATCCACCAAGTCTTCTTTCTCTCGACAGGTATCCGTTGGGATGTCCCTGAGAACCAGATACTGGCGCAAATCTTTGACTTTCAAGCGCATCAGCTGTGGGCGCTGGAAGGCTGTGTCCTTTAGCAGCTGGCAGGTGGTGCACCTTCGGAGGCTCTCTTGCAAGACGGAGCACACGGAGCAAAAATCTTTCTTGCACTCGCAGCACACGTGCTAAGGATGCACAACAGGAAGAGCCGGGAGCCCAAAGAACACACACAATCGTCACAAGTACAGCCAACAATCAGACTCTCCCCTCACTTCGGGGCAATCCTAAGTTTATCGGGACCACAGCAGAAGGATGCTGCGTTCGTTCCGAGCCGTCAAGTCGGAATCGACTTGTAGCCGCCCTGACAGAGCTTTCAAGGAAAGTGAGCTATTTAAGAAGTGGCTCCAGTCCCCTGGTGAGTTTCCATGGCCAAGTGAGGATTTGAACCCTTTTCTCCAGAGTCCCAGTCCGTCTGTCGCTCTATCCACTACACCACACTGGGAATCCCAGTGCTAGGGACCTAAAAGCCCTCTGCTATTCAGATCTCTGGGCATGAGGCTCCTTCCTTTCCCATCATGCCCCCTGATCATGATCTGGCATCCTTCACATAGATGCATGCAGGCAATCAAGCATCCAGTGGAAAAGGGCAGTAAGAAAGATTCCATCCTCCACTATGAATCGAAAAAGGAACCTTTCTTTAGTACACTGAATTTTAAAAAATTTACACACTAAATCTCTGAAAATGCTCTTGGCTCACCTTTTTTCTGAACACTGAAAACGAGAGGCCACACGATTTACAGATGAGGGTAGCTCCTCCTGTTGCTGAAGAGGTATACACAGAGAAGTCTGTATTTGGTGCAAATCTAAATGGGTTTGCCCCACTGCCAAATCCGGGCTGTTGGCCACGAACTGCTCCAGTCCCCATGACTTCATTCAGCAACCCACAGCAGGACGCCCACATGGATGTCGCTCCCGCCTGAAAGAAGCAGATAACAAGGCAAGGTAGTCCGTTAATTCAAGCTCTCATGTTTGGGAGCCGTGTCTCCAGGCCATAAGGAATGTCCTCTTCTCTCTCCACACTGTACTTGTGGGGGCATCAACAGCATGAGATCAATCCCAGGCCACATAACAGGAAGGGAAGACCCAGTATCCTTGCAACCTAAATGACATGCCAAAGCACCTGCATTTGCACGCACACACACACACACACCCATAACTCAACAACAACATGCCAAAGCACCTGCATTTGCACACACACACACACCCATAACTCAACAACTGAACATTAACCGCATGGGGGAAGCTTATTTCAAAAGGACCGAGCTCGACAGAAAGCATTCTGGAATACATGCTTTGTTCATTTATTGTAATAATCATTCTGGGAGCCCTGTGCAGAGCGAGTTTCCAGAATGTCAGCAACCGAACAATGGCCATAATGACTAGGTAACGGAGAGAACCTTTTTCAGTAACACTGTACTACCGGTTGAGTTAAACTAGTAGGGTAACACCGAGAGGGCAATGCTATTCAGAATCAAAACTATTTGCCTTTCTTTCTTTAAAAAGGAGCACACATTGTCCTCACACTCCCACCATCATTTACACCAGCTGCAGACATCCATCCCTACCCTGTCTGCAGACATCCTGCACTCTAGGCATCGTATGTGCGAGAGAGCAGCAGATTTTGGCTGCTTCTCTTTACACCCAGAGCTGCCTCCCGGTCGCTGGCACTTCCACCCCTACCATCCAGCCCCAAAGCCTCATTTCTCATCAAACCTGGCTGCCCCTAAGGAAGGACTTCCCAAAAGGCGCTCCTGCCTGTTAACATACTCTCCCTTCAGCCAAACCTTTCCTCTTCTGTTTAGCAGGCCTATGTCTGAGAAATTCAGGGGCCTTGTTGGTGGTGCTTCTGGCAAGGTTTCCTATCTGTTGAGGTCCATTCCTAAGTCCTTCAGATACCCCAATTTATGTGAAAATTTAAAGCAAATATCTTGGAATGTTGTTCCTCTCCAAGTGGAGAGTTCTCCAAAATGCATGCCAACTGAAGGACAAAGATTTATCAGAGCAGAACAGGTATCCATGAATCTAGGAAATGCTTTTAAGTGCCTTGTTAACAGTAATCAACAATTTCAGCTTTATATATATCTGCTGGGAACATTCTTTACTGAATTTATTTGTTCTCTTAAATAAATTCAGTAAAGAATGTTTCCAGCAAGCTCAAGAAGTCTCAGCATGATCGCTTCCTCCTTCAGGCTCTGCCCGTCAGGAGGAGGACAGAAGGAAATAAATACCACTAACAACCCACGGAAAGCTCCTTCCACTTTCTGCTGTTTTCAAAACTTTTTTTAAAAAGTGAAAGCACAAGGCTGATTAAGAAACCTCGAAGGGAGATGCAAGCATCACGTTGGAAGGCACAGGAACTTTTGAAACAGGATGCCTTCGACAGGGGAACCAAATAGAGCCCCCCCAAGATGGGATTCAGATGACTCACTCGCCTCCTCAAGCACAGGACTCTGTGTTCTCCTGTTCTCTGGCAACACTGGTGAAATTTCTTCTACCACGTGTAAAACGGAAAGAAAGTGGGTGGCATCATGTTAATCAGGCCAGGCTTTTGGACCACCAACCATCAAAACTTGCTTCCTTGACTCTACGCGCAAAACATCAGGCGGCATCATGTTAATCAGGCAAGGCTTTCGGACCACCAACCATCAAAACTTCCTTGACTCTACGCGCAAAACATCAGGGTGCTTTCCTCTCGTACCCAGAGGAAAGGATTCACCTATGCCGAGGATCAACAAGTGGCCTTGGGTGATCACTCCAATCCAGCTGCTGGCACAATTACCAGCAAACTGCATATGGTACCCTTTAAATATTAAAAAAAGAGAAGTGTACAAGAGCATGAATGTTGCTGGACCTCCTTTCCCACCACGACGTGACCTCCAGAGGTCTTTCTGCTCTGTTATGTAATCAGACTCTTGTTCTCTCTTTGAAGAATCACTTTTCCTCCTGCAACTAATCTCACCCACATAAGAAAAGCCATTCCTGACCTTCTCCTCCAAACTTTCTTCTCACCTTATATTCTCACCTTCAGTCTAACCGTTTTATTTTATCTCTCTTATTAATCCTTTGCCCTGGAGAACAATGCACTTTCTTCAAAGGTATTTATTTTTGTGAACCACACTTGGAAAAACCATAACAAAACAACAGTCCATAAAATGGTTTACAAAAAAAGAAATCTAAAATAAATCCAATTACAATAACGTAACTTAGAGGTCCCACAAAGTACTCTGCCGTGAACTGCAGCAATATGCAAGGGAGGTAACCTGCAACTGCATAGCAAAACACGAAGGCAAGGAATTCCCTGAGGATCACATTCCACAGGTATGGAACAACCACAGTAAAAGCCTTGCTCCTCAACAGATATGTTTCAAGAACCTTGGACCAGCAAACAGAACATTCCACGTGAGCGGAAATACTTATCCTGGAAAGTGAAGGGGCAGTAGAGAGCTGGTAGTCTAAAAACAAGGCCTTTTCTTAACTAGTCAACTAAGCCTCTTATGAGATACAGTAACGCCATCCCATGACTCTTTACTCAGATGTAAGGCCTGCAGGTTTCCGAAAGATTAAGTCCCATGTCAATGTGCGCAGGGAGGCAGCTCCAGCTTTAATCAGAAGAGCAGGCCTTGTGAAGGTGCAACTTAGTTTCCCTTGGAACACAAAATAAGAATACATTATATTTACATAAGTCCTTTTGTGTATACAGAAGTTGTATTCTTGCTACATGTATCATCCTGCCAGTGGCTACTTTTTAAAAATATCTTTTCCTGGTGCCTTCCCCCCCCCCCGCTCCTTTATTAACATCTATTATTTACAAACAGGTATTAGACTGCATTGTTATTTCCCAACAGAGATTTTACATACACTGTTTTTAAAAAGCCAGGAAATTAATAATTATACTTCTAAGCATATAATTTCCTTTAGCAGACAGGCTTTGGGGCTGCCAGCCTATTTTTATTAACTACATTTAGAGCCTCCACTGAGCTTAAGGCTAGACATGGTCTAGAGGGGCGGGGTAAAAGGCTCAGTAAATGACTCTTCTCCTCTCATCTTCCTGCTTGCCTGTCACAACAACCCTTTGAGGTAGGCCAGGCTGAAAGGAGTGACTGTCTCAAGGTCAAACAGTGACTGACTAGATCTCAAACCCCGACCCCAAGCCACCGTCCAACACTTAACCACTACACCATGCTGTCCTGTGCCCACCCTCTCCACCAGAGCAGGCTCCAGTGACCTTGGCTGGACTTATTATTTCAGGCTGCTGTTTCCTTACTCATTTTGTTAATTTCTAGCCTGCCCTTCTCCCTGCAGAGGGAATCCACGTGATCACAGGCTGCCTGAACAGGGGAGAAAAACAAACTATAAATGAAATAAATAACAGGCAACTCTATTCCCCTCGCCCACCCAATAAAGGGATTCAACCCTGGGCATCCCCACCTGACAGTAAGCCAAAGAAAGGGGATTTCCTTCTGAATACTGACACCCATAGAGGATCAAAATGTCAGTTGTTTACTCCTGAGTAGGCAAGCGCCCTATAAAAAGGGCCCTTCCCAACTTCTGTTATGAGAAGTGCCCCAAAGTCACTTTGTGGGACCACTGATCATGGGAGAAAGGGAACGTGCCTTGGACAGACAACAATGCCCAGAACCCCCCCCCCAGCCTGGACTACAACACCCAGAATCCCCCAAGCTGGCTGGAGAATTCTGGATGGTGTAGCCCAGGCTGGGGTGGGGATTCTGGGTGCTGTAATCCAGGCTGGGGGAATTCTGATCCCTCCCCCCAAAAACTGGCTGGGGGATAATGCTGGGCGTTGTAGTCCAGGCTGGGGGATTCTGGGCGTCGTGGTCCTCGCCAGGGCACGTCCCCCCCACCCCCACCTCGCCCAGACTCGGAACTTGTCTGTCCCCCTCAAGCCCTTCCCCGTTTCCACCGGGGAGGGAAGGGTGTCACTGGCGTCCGTTACTCCCGAGGGAACGAGTTACCGTTACTTCAGTAATTGCCCCCACTCAGTTCCCCCTCACACCTCACAATCCGGAGTCCCTGCGTTAAAGTCAAGGCTTCCTCCTCCCACCCCAAAAAAATAATATTAACT